GTGTGTGTGTGTGTGCGCGCGCGTTTGTGTGTGTGGATGTGTGTGTGTGTGTGTGTGTGTGTGTGTGTGTGTGTGTGTGTGTGTGTGTGTGTGTGTGTGTGTGTGTGTGTGTGGATGTTTGTGTGTGGATGTGTGTGTGTGTGTGTGTGTGTGTGTGTGTGTGTGTGTGTGTGTGTGTGTGTGTGTGTGTGTGTGTGTGTGTGTGTGTGTGTGTGTGTGTGTGTGTGTGTGTGTGTGTGTGTGTGTGTGTGTGTGTGTGGGTGTGTGGGCGCGTGTGCACGTGTGCGCGTGAGTGCGTATGTTAACATGTAAACATCTCATAACTTTGTAACGGAAAAGCGGCTTGCGGCATTTGCAAGTGTCTCGCTGAATTTAGATTTTCAGTGAACTTACTTTTGATCAATTCTATAATGTCAGTCCATCAATTCTTCTACTCAAAAAACGGCGTCGATTGCCGTGAACTGCATCAAAATCGGTTGATTCATCCGAGAGATATCGTTGTCGTAAGAAATCTCGAAGTGTTTTTTCTTGAACTTGAAAAATTTTCGTCAGATCAATTTTTTTATAAATATTTTTAAGCTCAAAAAACGACACTAATTCTTGCATAGACCTGGCGACATTTCTTAGCATGTACAAGAGGCTTTGGCTTTGTCCGTTTTTCCTTTAACCTTAGTTTACACGAATCTTCGAAAATTGACGCCGTAGTTGAAATCTGATAGGAAAACGTAATCTAAAAATCTCAAATCACGTACAAAAAGAAGTTCCTTCCTTTTATTTTATGAAAATTGACGTCGTATTTGAAATCAAATAGGAAAACGTAATCTAAAAATATAAAATCATGTACAAAAAGAACTTCCTAACTTATATATTTTGAAAATTGACGCTGTAGTTGAAGTCAGATAGGAAACCAAAATCTAAAATCACGTACAAAAAGAATTTCCTTCTTTTAATTTCTTGGAAGTTGACACCGTAGTTGAAATCAGATAGGAAAACGTAATCTAAAAATCTCAAATCACGTACGAAAGAAATTCCTTTCTTTTATTTTACGAAAAAGTCTGACAGATTTTTTGCAATTTAATTATGCCTATTGGACGACACACACGGTCAGTTCAACTGGTTATTCCAACTGATTGAAATCCGATATTTTAAAAAATATCAACAGTCCTAGTTTGAACTGATCAGTTGGAATGATCAGTTGAACTGACCGTGTGTGGCGACCACATGAATCACCACCGTCATTTCTTCTTTGTAATTAAAATATTTTTAACACGTGGATTTTGTTGCCATTAACATCAGTATGTAAGGTTTTATGTCATTTTCAGTTTTAATGTCTATTGTAATAGTAGTTCGTGATAGAATTTTATATTTGACTGCGACTGTTTCGATATTTGGTATCTAAACCTCTGCACGTAATGATAAGAGTAGATATGTTAGTATAGCTTGACGCACGGCGGTGTGCCGTAGGTACAATTACGAGTATTTGTTTGTTTTAAAGGTGTTCGTGTTATTGTGTGATTGAAATAAAATAAGAGGTATATAATATTATGATGTTCTTATAGAGTTTTCTATTATAATAAATAGTTAGAGACTGGTGGGAGTAACAAAAACTATGTGAACTATCCTACATAAAATTGTACATCTTGTTTCATAATGAAATATAGTATTATCTAATTTGTTTCTGCCTAAATTCTTAATATTAGAAATTAAAGTTGTATCGATTTTATAAATCATTTTAACACGTGGTAGAGCCATGCTGCAGCTATATTAGTAATATAATATGTAGTTGTAACACGAATGGATCGGCTCGATCGGGGAAGGACCACGCTCTTACAGAATACCAGCATGAAATAGTAGCTAAACACTGCTGTGTTTCGTATGGTGAGTACAGAGAACCGGAGACCCTTTTTACTGGTAAAGAGGCATACCATATTAGTTCTCAGGGGTGACAACGCATCTATATTTTGATTCATAATCGAAACAAAACAACATAGAACGCTATCCTGGATTAACGCAGTATTTTTAGCCAGTTAGCCAGAAAGTAACAAATACTAAACTTTACTGCGGTAAAACCTTATGTCACATTAGTGAATATGGCTAAAGAAAAAGTGGACTTATTCGCGTTTCTCCTGGTTTTGAAATTCACGTATAGACAATGGCTTTTATAACCTCACTGCGATACATCTATGTCAAAGATCCGCATCACTATCAAAGAGGTTCTTAAATCATTGCGGGTTCCAGACGTGAACAAAGCTGGTGGACCAGATGGTATACCAGCTTTAGTCCTAATAGCTTGTGCACCCCAGTTGTCTTGTTGTCGTGATAACATCAAATAAAAATAGTGGTCAAATCCTGGTAGCTTACCAATGTGCCGCCTGTTTCAAAAATAAGCCGTGCCGTGCTGATCCTGCCAATTATCAGCCAATCTCAATTACCTCTACACTCTGCAAAATTATGGAGCGTATATAGAACACATATGACAGTATGGGTTTCACCCTAATCGGCTGACAGGAGACCTTCTAGCGTGTACTACACACATATGTCGTGAGGCTCTAGAGAAGATCAGGGAAATGATAGTTTTATTGAAAAGCCTTTGACTAAGTTTGGAACGCTAGCCATTTAGGCAAGCTTTCAACGCATGGCTTATCCCCTAGTTTGACCAGCTGGGTAAAGGACTTTTTGAGTGAACGGTCTCTCTACGTCACTGTCGATGGCTGCCTTCTTTATTATATCTATGACGGCTGCTCTTCCAAACCTATCACAACTAATTCCGAAGTTACTCAGGGGTCCATTCTCTCCGCAACTCTCTTCTTGCTGCTTATCAATGATCTGATTCTGATTAGTATCAGTGGGTACGTTAGTATATATAGGTATAGCACAGTTGTGGAGAAATATCAGCTAAATGCTTGGAGGAATCGGGATCAAATCCAGTTCAACACAGCAGCAATGGTTAAGCACGTGAATCTCTCACTGTAGGCAGTATCCGAATGGGGCGATGCAAATCTCGTGAGACTCTACGCCTCCAAAGTACAAGCGTGTCTCTTCACCGCAAGAAAGAACCAGCTCACCTTGGCCCATACTTTGTAATCATTAGAATTCATCGACCACTTCCAGTTGCTGGAGTTGAGGTTTCTTCGATTGAGTCTAGGGCTAAAGCAGCTGAAAGGAAAAAAGGTATCCTTGCAAAATTGCGGCTTAATTCCTCCATATCTATTCCATCATCTAAACATCAGTTACTTGGCTGGTCTTCACCCCTTTGTTGCCGTAATAATACTCATTTGAACCAAATGGTTTGCTTCGATACAAGAATTCAAAGACAATTTGATGAATTGTTCATATTGTGTACAACAAAGGAGTGGAATAATTTGCCTTTTTATCAGTTTATAATTTACCCACATTATAAACTTTAAGGCAAGAGTGTAAGGGCTTTTGTCGAGCTATTGAGTCAGCGGGCTTTATCATCTTTGGCTGTATCACTACTTACCATCAGGTGGGACTCTAGTGCCCATGTAAAGATCAACGGGATCTACACAGAGTGGTTTGGCATCTGTTTATGGACAGTTGTTGGGAAACTTTAAAAATCGAAGAATGTGGGTCAAGAATTGGTCATTTAGCCGTCAAATGCCTCTTTTACGCCGAGTATCAAGTCATATTTGCGTCGTCAATGGACATGTTACAAATTATGGTTACATTAATGAACGTATCATTGAAAGAAAGAGGAATTTTATACGTGGCAGAGCCATGCTGCAGTTATATTAGTAGTAGTATAGTTGTAGCACGAATGGGTCGGCTCGAACGGGGAAGGACCACGCTCTCACAGAATATCAGCGTCAAATAGTAGCTTGCTAGTTTCGTATGGTGAGTGTAGAGAACCGGAGACCCTTTTTACTGGAAACGAGGCATTCCATCTTAGTCTCACGTTAGATAACGCATCTGCATTTTGATTTGTAATTGAGGATAGATGTAGATGTCTATGGGCCACAGCAACCACTTACCATCAGGTGGACTGTGTGCTCGTTTGTCACCCTATCCTATATAAAAAAAAGAAAAAAAAAAGAATAATAGTGAAAGCAGAAGTGAAGTAAGATGGAAGTGATGGTTTTTGAATGAGAAGAATTCGAAATTATATGTGATATAAGAATAGAAGAGGTGTTGTTTGAGTACGCCGAGTAGACACAGGAATTATAGGACTAAGTTTGAAGGCAGAACACATAGTGAATGGCTCTCAGATAGTGTGCTGCTCAGTGAAAGAAAGTCAGAATGTGTCAAGAAAGGCAGGCATGTATAGCAATACACAAACTGTGTTAGTTCTAAACCTTAATGTATGTTAGTGAAGGTTGGATGCGTCGGAAGGAATATGCGAGTAACTGATTATTAGGGGTAATACAATAGAGGTATGTTAGGGGTGCTTTTTAATGACAGAGCAAGAAATAGTGTAAAAAAGGAAAAGTACGATTTGCAAGAAGATTTTGTGACCACAATTAAGAAAAGCATGCTTCGGTGATTTTATGCTGCTGAAGTGAGTGACAAAGACGATCAACTGTCGCCTAAAACACGTCCGTAGCTAGTAAAAGTCTACTCATTTTCTCCCTTTATAGAAGAGATTTACCTTAATCGTTACTCTTAGCAGGCGTATTAATAATTGCAGTACCAGACGTCTGGCACGTTTGACATCGCTGCCTGTTGCCAGTCCACCTGTCTGTCTGAATCCATCTAGTATTCCAGACGGTGAAAACGCCACGATCTGTGGTGGCAGCATCAGATAATTCATTACCATTCTGATAGTTCTGTAGTTCTGTAGTTCAAAAGAGATGACTATAGGATCTCATTGTGTCCGATAAATTTTGGAATATAAAATCATTTTGACATAATCTTAAATAATAAAAAAAATTATATGGTAAAATTTTACGAAGCCTACATCGTAAGAGGGCATCAAAGGCTTTGCAAGTACTTTGTTAATATGGTAGAAATAAATATCTAAATCTTTTTAGGCATATGAAAAGATGAAAGCTAGGCGAGACAAGCGGCAGGCAAGTGCCGTTACTAAGTTCCGGCTTTTGATGTGGAAGAATTTTTTGCAGCAATGGCGTCACCGTAAACAAACAGTTATAGAGCTGATTTTACCGGTCGCTACCATGGCTCTAGTGCTCATCTTGCGTTCGCAAATAGAACCTGTAGTGCAAGATATGAAGACATATCCGCCTATAAATGCACATTCCCTCAATTTTTCTTTACCGGTTTTGTAAGTAAATGATTTTGTCGGACAAATGTATACTTTTTATAATCATAAAGTTTATGAATGTGTTTTTTTTAGAGCTGGTATGAATTTAAGTCAACTAACATTTGCTTATTCTCCGGAAAATCCAATGCTCGATGACGTAATAAGAAGTTCTGTAGCAAATTTGTTAATTTTAAATATAAGGGATTTAATACCCACCACTTTAAAAATATTTTCTTATGAACCTAAAATTGAAATACCGTCTATAAATATCAATTCAACAGTTATATATGAGCTGTTGAAGAGGCTTGTTAGAGTAAGAGCATATAATAGTAGTGCTGATTTAAGGATTATTTATGCGAAAGAAGAATTCACGCGAACAGTATTAGCTGCTGTAGAGTTCGATGATGATCTGAGAGGTCAGTTGTTTAAATTTAACCTTCTTTTTAGGATTACTTATATATATATTTATAACATTTTAAACTTTTTACTTTTAGACGCATCCGAGTTGCCTATCAACCTGTCTTACGCCCTACGTTTCCCTGAAAGGCCCCGATTAAATTCATTTTATGCATTAGGGGGTCGTACTTGGCGAACAGATGCTATCTTTCCCGTTTTTGAACTACCTGGACCAAGATTCCCTGATTCGTGGGAGGGAGGTAACAATCCGGGTAAGATAATGCAGAATTTAGAAATTATTATGTTACCACAAACACGTGTTTCATAATAACCTAAGGCTAGACAACGGTCTCTCTTACGTTAGTAATTTAGCTTACATGATTCACAATAACATCATCATCACGCATTGGGGTAGTACCGCAAACTCTTACTTGCGCTAAAACTCTCTCAAAAATGAAAGGACGTGGGTAATGTAAGCTGTTACTGAAATAATACTAGTTTTTACGGAATTTATCGCGTATATTTAACTTTTTAAATACCCGACGTTTCGAACGCTTTACAGCACTCATGGTCACGGGTGGGACTGAGATGTTCAACGTCCATATGTCATAGTTAACCGCGGTTACCATAGATTAAAATTTAACTTTTGTTCTAAAACTAGTATTATTTCAATGTGTAGTGTTCGCGTAAATATAAGAAATCATTAGGCTGTTACTATTACAAATTACATATATGATGACATTATAATTTTAATCTGATGTTTTCTAAGACGATTTTAGCGTCAGCTTTGCGATAAAATTGGATAAAAGATTTTTTTACATCACCAGCACATAAAAATATTACTATCGTAATATAACATAATATAATATAATGTTTTTTAATATAATATAATATAATATAACATAATATAATATAATATAATAAAAAGTTACATATTTTGATTTAGGTTATGTCAATGAAATGTTTGTTGCGCTTCAACATGCTATTTCAACGGAATTGATTTCGAGAATCACAGGAGAGAATTTACGAAACTTTAATGTAAAATTACAAAGGTATCCTCATCCAGCGTATGTAGAAGATCTCGTTGTAGAGGCATTGCAACTACTTTTCCCCATGTTCATTTTAATTAGCTACAGCTACACAGCTGTGAACATTGTAAGAGCTGTAACAGTGGAAAAGGAGCTCCAATTAAAAGTGAGTACAATATATACAAACAAAAGTAAATTATGATTTTTTTCGATGATAATTTATAATTTCATAGATGCAAAACAAAAATTCTCCATATTGAAATGTTTTAGTGATATTTTAGGAAGTCATGAAAATAATGGGTCTACCTTCATGGTTACATTGGTCTGCATGGTTTTGTAAACAATTTATTTACTTGATAATTTCGGCGTCTTTAATCGTCATTATTTTGAAGGTATGGTAATCTTTATTACCGTGTTTTATCATTTTTATATTTCAATTATTTTATTCCTAATAACACACAAACATAGCTTTAAAAATCGGTTATCAATCGAGGGAATCCCAGCCGAGCGAGGTGATGTGCTGTTAGTCCAATACGCAGTGCTATCTCATGACCTAGTCGGTAACGCACTAGCACATGAGCATTTGCGCAAGAGTAGTTGCAGTAGTGTTGTATAGTCTGCACGCCGTGTAGTGGCCGTTAAGAATATCCACTACCCCATATCTTCCCGTGGGTGTCGTAAAAGGCGACAGAGGGAAACAGGCAGGAGATGGGCAGCAGCATCTTCCTGATAACAGCAACTGTACGACAAAAAAAACTGCGGTTGCCAACCCGCTCGCCAAGCGTGGCAACTATGCAATATAACCCCCGTGAACAATTACACAAATAGACGGCCCCCAGTGGGCCCCGCTATTCCTGGCTACGGTGGCGACCATGGTAACGGCGGGGCAGTGGATGCTAAGAATATCCGGTGAAGGTTCGGTTGCCACCAACGACGTACCTTGACCTGGCAACATTTAACGCACGCACACTGAGGACTGACGAGAAGATCCTGGTGCTGGAAGAAGAGATAGACAAGTTGCGCTGGAATATTATAGGATTATCCGAGGTCCGAAGAGAGGGGGAGGATACGGTGATTCTTGAATCCGGCAACTTGTTCTATCACCGGGAGGGCGACCATCTGTCCCAAGGAAGTGTTGGATTTATCGTCCACAAGTCTCTCGTTAACAACGTTTTAAAGATTGGGAGTGTATCGACGAGGGTTGCGTACCTTATACTCAGAATCACCAAACGGTATTCGCTGAAGGTCATATATGTTTACGCGCCCACGTCGGAACATCCCAATGAGGAGGTGGAGGAAATGTGAATGTGAAATGGACATTTCTAGAGCCATGCATTGCTCCAAAACTCACTATACGGTGTTAATGGGAGACTTCAACGCAAAACTGGGCACAAGAAAGAATGTTGAGCTGAAGGTAGGCAAATTTGGGATAGGGCAACGGAACCCAAGGGGCCAGCAGCTGGTCGATTTCTTGGAAAAAGAGGGACTTTTTATGATGAACTCTTTCTTTCAGAAGCGACCCCACAGAAAGTGGACCTGGTCGAGCCCCGACGGTTCGACAAAAAATGAGATTGACTTCATTATGACGACCAGACGCCAACTGGTCAGTGATGTCTCAGTGATCGCAAGGGTGAAAACTGGCAGCGATCACCGAATGGTTAGAGGCACACTGAACCTAAACGTTAAGTTGGAGAGGTCTCGTCTAATGAAGTCAACGCCGTCCCCCTCGTGCTCTAATCCAGAATCCCGAAACCTTTCAGCTCGAGTTACAAAACCGCTTTCAGTGCCTAGTAGATTGCAATGCACTGGACGATATGAATGACAAGCTCGTGGAAACTGTCCATGCGGTCGGAGCTAAGTTCTGCAAGACCAGCCGCAGAAGAACACAAAAACTCTCCTATCATACTCTTAATCTCATGGCTGTTAGACGGGAGATGAGGCTGCAATCGTCAACAGATTTGACAGTATACAGGCAACTGAATAAACAGATCTCCAAATGCATGCGGCGAGACTTACGCAACTTTAATACTGCTCGTATTAAAGAAGGGATCGAGCGTAACCAGGGCTCCAAAGTCTTTGCCAGAGATCTGTCTGCCAGAAAGAGCCAACTGTCAAAGCTGAAGACTGAGTGTGGTAGCATTGTTTCCGGGACACCTGAGATTTTGAGTGAGATTGAGAGGTTCTATGGGGAGCTGTACACATCATCGTTGGAGCCACACGCAAGTGTGAGTAACGATCCAAGAGCAAGTCTTATCCGACACTATTCCGATGATATCCCGGACGTCAGTCTGAGCGAGATTAGAATGGCTCTCCAGCACCTTAAAAACGGCAGGGCCCCAGGCGAGGATGGAATTACAGCGAAGCTTCTGAAAGCGGGTGGAACACCGGTACTTGAAGTCTCTCAGAAGCTCTTCAATTCCGTCCTCCATGGTGACACTACTCCAGAGGAGTGGATCAGAAGTGCGGTGGTCTTGTTCTTTAAGAAAGGCGACAACGCTCTCTTGAAGAACTACAGACCGATTTCCCTTCTGAGCCGCGTCTACCTGCTGTTTTCGAGAGTCATTACGAATCGTCTCGCACGCAGACTTGACGACTTCCAGCCTCCCGAAAAAGCCGGTTTCCGAAAAGGCTTCAGTACCATAGACCATATACATACCCTGCGGCAGATTGTACAGAAGACCGAAGAGTACAATCTGCCACTTTGCCTGGCGTATGTGGACTATGAGAAAGCCTTTGATTCCGTCGAAATTTGGGCGGTGCTACAGTCTCTTTAGCGGTGCCAAGTTGACTGTCGGTATATCGAAGTGCTGAAGTGTTTGTACAGTAGGGTTACGATGGCTATTAGAGTACAGAACCAGAGCTCGAAACCTATCCAACTGCAGAGAGGTGTAAGACAGGGTGACGTTATATCCCCGAAACTCTTCACCGCTGCATTGGAAGACGTTTTCAAGCTACTGGACTGGAAAGGATACGGTATTAACATCAATGGCGAGTACATCACTCACCTTCGGTTTGCCGACGATATAGTCCTTATGGCAGAATCGCTGGAGGACCTTAGCACTGTGCTCAATGACCTCAGTGGTGTCTCCCAACGGATAGGTCTTAAGATGAACATGGACAAAACAAAGATCATGTTTAATGTCCATGTCACACCTACGCCGGTAGTTGTTGGGAGCACTATGCTCGAAGTTGTTGACGAGTACGTTTACCTGGGACAAATAGTCCGACTAGGTAAGTCCAACTTCGACCGAGAGGTCAATCGACGGATTCAACTCGGCTGGGGGCGTTCGGGAAATTACGACATATCTTCTCGTCAAGTATACCTCAATCTCTAAAAACTAGATTGTACAACCAGTGCGTGTTGAAAGTGATGACTTATGGATCTGAGACGTGGTCCTTCACTGCTGGCCGTATGAGGACGCTCAAGGTCGCTCAGCGAGCTATGGAGATGGCTATGCTCGGAGTTTCTCTGCGTGATAGACTCAGAAATGAGGATATCCGCAGTAAAACCAGAGTGACCGACATAGCCCAACGGATTAGTAAGCTGAAGTGGCAATGGGCCGGCCATATAGCTCGAAGAACCGATAACCGATGGGGAAGAAAGGTTCTCGAGTGGCAGCCTCGTACCGGTAGGCGTAATGTAGGGCGACTCCCCACTAGATGGAGTGACGACCTGGTAAGATATGCAGGAAGTCGATGGATGCAGGTGGCTCAGGACCGTGCTTTGTGGCATTACTTGGGGGAGGCCTATGTTCAGCAGTGGACTTGTGAAGGGCTGTAATGATGATGATGATGATGATGATGTATAGTCTGTTCGGTTAGATACGGCGCCCTTGTGTCGCGCTGCCTTGGCACGTGTCGCATCTTGCCAAAGACATCAAAGGTCGCTGCGTGCAGCGTACGAGAAAGCGAAGCGCCGTGGTGAAAGTTTCTTTGCTATCTAACTTGTGTTTATTATTTATATTTGTATTTTATTACAATAACCATAAGAAAGAAATAGTATTCTATTTATTCTTATAATTCAATAAGTGCGTGTACCAACACTATACGCAGTGAACACACATGTGATAAATATGTTTCATCAGCAGCAACTTTCCAATGCAAAATATTGGAACATGTTTCTTGCCAACGCATTTGCACACGGCAGGGTCCAACGAGTGATAGAGGTGTATCGGTAGCTGTTTCCGAGCTACCGAACACTATGGTTCTCTACAAATTGGTTGTTTAAGCAACGGTTGCGGGAATTCGCGAAGTCAAAGTGTAAGAAAGAACGTGAACGACAGCAGGTCATTGTCAATTTACATAATTGATTTGTGAGTACTTCCGACAAAGCTCAATAAAGTACTTGGAATGCAGTAAGACGATTCGATGCGTCCCAAGACTGTCTGAAAGCTACTTCATCCTTAATGCGTTTTGCACACACACCGCTTTCTAAAATTTATAAATTTATTTATATATTCTGTAAATTATTTTTATTATATAAATGAAAACTATTATCATAATTATTATCACAACTAATTATCCTAAGTTATATTTCTGAGTTCCTTTTAATTTCAGGCTAACTGGTTCACAAATGAAGAGGGTTTTAATGACTATGCAGTGTTTACAAATACACACTGGAGCGTACTCTTCTTTTTTACAATTTTGTATTTAACTTGTATGATATTCTTCTGCTTCATGATAAGTGGTTTCTTTTCAAAAGGTTAGTGTTTTACACGCTCGTTTATGTCCAAGCAAGTAATTACTTGTCAAGTTATTATGAATAATGATTATACTTAACAACGTTTTAAAGAACCATAAGAAAGAAATAAATACCGCCGGTATTACCAGAGTTGGCACCGGTTTTAACGCGTCTTTTCCGGTAATCCTACTCCCTAGGCGTAGTCCCAAAATCATGGAAGACGGATTTCGTCCACCCGATCCCTAATAAAGGCGACCGCTCAGACCCGTCCAACTACCGGCCTATCGCCATCACCTCCTTGTTCTCCAAAACAATGGAGTCTATTGTTAACTGCCATCTCATGAGGTACCTTGAGGATCACCAGCTGATTAGTGATCGTCAATACGGTTTTTGCCGTGGTCGGTCAGATGGTGATCTTCTGGTCTACCTAACTCACAGATGGGCGGGGGCAGTAGAGTCCAAGGGGGAGGCATTGGCCGTTAGTTTGGACATTGCGAAGGCCTTCGATCGGGTTTGGCACAAAGCGCTTCTTTCGAAGCTCCCTTCCTATGGGCTTCCCGAGAAATTGTGCGATTGGATCACCAGCTTTCTTGCAGATCGGAGCATCAAGGTCGTTGTAGACGGTGCAAGCTCCGATTACAAGCCTATTAATGCTGGTGTTCACAAGGCTGCGTGCTATCGCCAACGCTGTTTCTTCTGCGTATCAATGATATGTTGCAAACCCGTAACATTCATTGCTATGCAGATGTCAGCACTGGTGATGCTCTTTACACCGGCCGTGCCAATATTTCTCGGGAAATATCTCCGAGTACCGGGACAAACTTGTGTCTGAAGTCGAGTCTTTGCTGAACAGAGTCTCGGATTGGGGGCGACTAAATCTAGTCCAGTTTAACTCCCAGAAGACACAAGTTTTCGCATTCACCGCTAAAAAGAACCTCTTTTTCGTATCTCCTCAGTTTCAAGGCACTCTCCTTGTTGCCTCAGCCAGTATCGGAATCCTCGGCGTCGACATATCGAGTGACGTGCAGCTTCGTGGTCACTTGGAAGAGAAGGCCAAATTGGCCTCTAAAAACTTGGCGTGCTCAGCAGAGCGGGACAGTATTTCATGCTAGCACACCGACTGCAACTTTACAAGGCACAGGTTTGGCCGCACATGGAATACTGTTCCCATCTCTGGGATGGGGCTCCCCAGTACCAGCACCGCATTCTGTCGACGATCGAGTGCTTTCCGATCGGCTCGATTCACTGGCGCTGCGAAGAGATGTTGCATCTCTTTGCATTTTCTTTCGATATACCATGGGGAATGCTCTGAGGAATTGTTCGGATTAATCCCAGCCGCCAAATTTCGTGAAACCACTACGCGACAAACGTCCCGATACCATCCACACCAACTGGATGCTTGGCGGTCCACCACTGTACGTTTCAAAAGGAATTTTCTTCCGCGTACGACCTCTCTGTGGAATAGTTTACCACCGGCGATTTTTCCCGACCGATATGACCTGGGGACCTTCAATAAAAGAAAAGTAGATCATGCGATCGTTTTCATATGTAAGACGTATTTGTCTAACGTCTTGACAGAAACCGTTCGCCTTGCATGTGGCGTCTATTCGGGCTGTGTAGTCGTTGTTTGTCACACTTATACTATTTCTAAAAAACCTTTCGGCAAAAATTTTATGTCTGCACAATGCATACAGTGAATTATAATAAGCTATTTGTGTAAATTATTTATTGTTAGGAAATAAATATTAAAGTTTTACGTTAGGTCGGCTAGAACGGCGGCGAGGAGCAGCATCAAAGATACGAGACGTCTAGTGCTGCAGTTTTCGACTCGTCTGCCAAACGAAACGATAAGGCATATTATCAATACTGATTGAAGATTTTGTAACATATTTGCTTTATTTTATAACTTCATTTATATGTTAATGTTAATTACTTACTTAAATGATAGGAAGTACGGCAGCTTTATTTGCGGGTGTCATTTGGTTCCTGTCCTCTGTGCCTGCAGTGTTATTGACTATGGACTTAGAAGTTTCAACCACCGCTCAAGTGTTGACATGTCTCAGTATCAACACAGCCATGTCCTTCGGCTATCAACTGTTATTGTCAAAAGAGAGTACAGGCGGTATGTATATTCATAGTGAACTTATATTGATATTGTTTATTATTAATAAATGCATTATAAATAATCAATTAGAATTCCATAAAATAAGGTACGTTTTAATTGATTTATAAAAATGTTACGAGCTTAGGATTCGTGACAATAAAAACTGCTGATTGAATTCTAAAATTGACACTTTAATTACCGACACTAAATTAAATTAATTTATTATGCGTTTATATATTAATAGCGTAAATTTAAGAAATCATTACCGACACTAGTTGAAACACACTAATAATTAATCACACTCAACACTTTAGTTCACTTTATTTCGTTCCGAAGTCATCGCTTGTGTCGCTATTTCAATACTGACGGTTCATGGTCCTTAACGCCTTTATATAGGACTTTTTTCCACTGAAATATCCCGAATGTTCGAGCACACACCGGTCCCAACCGACTAAGTGTAGAACGTTCTCTCCTAGTTCTGCCACTAGATACTAGATGGCGCTAGTGGGAATGTTCTAGCGTGACATTTTCTAGAAAGCACCCTCAATGCCTGCTAGTCGATACTAGACAACGCGAACAATAATCAATGTTCGAAAAGACTGAGTAAATTATGCTGTCTGTATGTGTAATTAAAAGGTGTTATTTATTATTATTTTAATAATATTTCTTTAAAATAAGAACTAATTGATACATTTAGTAGGGATGGGAGATATGATAAGGATATAGAACGACGAGTGAATGCGGTCAAAAAAGGCACATATGGCAATTCAAAATGCTGTGTTGGTCCCTACTTTAACGTATGGTAGTGAAAGTTGGGTGTGGCAGAAGAAGCACGAGAGTAGAATCAACGCAGTAGAAATGCGGTCGTTAAGGAGTATGTTAGGGCTGAATCTGAACGACACGGTACGAAATTGTGTAATAGAAAATAATAGAATAGAATAGAAGAGTGTGGTTTGCAAGATGACGTTGTGACCAGGATTAAGAAAGGAATGCTTCGGTGGTTTGGTCATGTGGAAAGAATGAATGAGGAAAGAGTGACAAAGAAAATTTATGTTGCAGAAGTGAATGGCAGAGTCGGAAAGGGACGTCTTAGGCGAAAATTTATCGACCAATTGGCGATTTATTGAAAACGGGCCAAATTAGGAGTACCCTTAACCGACAAGCATGTATGCATAAGTGTATGGATGTGAAGGAGGCGAGAGAGGTGTGTCAGGATTGTGCCAAATGGAAGTCTGTAGTCTCTCCCTACCCCTCTGGGTGACAGGCGTGAGTGTTTATGTATATGTATATGTATGTAATTGATACATGTAAGTAAGTTACGCATGTAAATCTTGTTTTAGGCATGCAATGGGGAGAATTCATGGCATCAAACACCGCCGATTCATCACGGTTCGTTTTCGGCCATGTGGTGGTAATGTTGTTAGTGGACAGCTTTGTCTATATGTTGATTGCTCTGTATCTGGAACAAGTGTTGCCTGGACCTTATGGGGTACCTAGGCCTTGGTACTTTCCTATTCAGCGTGATTTTTGGTTTCCTAGACGTAATATTTTACCAGGTAATGTAATCCTTGTGTATAGTTCTGAACATCATTTGTTACAAACGTTATAATGAGATCACAAAGTTTAGTGTTTATGGTTTTAGATTACAATGTAAGATCATAAATAAAATCAATAATAGATTAATTTTATTCAGAATAAAATATAAAAACTCATCGTAAATCTCATCTCAACTTTAATTTGTTACAGACGAACTAAACGAGGTCAGTAATAATGAAGAGATAAAGGAAAATGAACCGGTCGATCATGAAATTGGAGTTAAAATCATTGTAAATGTTTATCTAAATTAATTATTTTAACAATCATACTCATGTGGCGCTTAAAATTGTCTTATCTCTTTGCAGAATTTGACGAAGATATACGGAAATAACGTCGCCGTGAATAACTTGAATTTGAATATTTATAATGATCAGATAACCGTGCTTCTTGGGCATAATGGTGCTGGAAAATCAACGACCATCTCTATGATTACCGGTTTGTATACAAAAATATCATACATTTTACTTATATGTGGGTTTATGACTTAAAAAATTTCAATTTATGTGTGTTATTTACTCTAAGTTATTCAGATTTTTAAACCATATTTTGGAAAAAAATTGAATTATATTTTGTTAAAATTCCTCTTATATGCGGATATAATAGGTAATGTGGATGTGACTCGTGGTACGGTCTGGTTGGCTGGCTACGATGTGCGACAGCAATTGAATGAGGCGCGTGCACATCTCGGATTATGTCCGCAACACAATGTGATCTTTAATGAGCTTACCGTCCGTGAACATCTCGAATTCTTCGCTAAGCTCAAAGGATACTCTGGTCAGGAGCTCCATGATGAAGTTGATATCCTTATAGGCGACCTAGAATTGCAAGACAAGGTTAGTTAAATTCTCTATTATTTGGCTTACGTTGATATTCCATATGTTTAACTGGGGTTAAGGTCTTTGGACAGATCCACTTCTAGACATCGGTTCCTCTTACACTTGAATGAATTCATGATAATTTTGACGCTTGGAACAACAGCTGACGATCACAGCATTAGACATTTTGCATCGTCTGCTGTTAAAGGCCATAAAATCCTTTAACATTGTTCTTAGTCGATCTGTGCAACTCTTACGACTTTACCTTCGGTAGCCAACGGTGGGAAACGAGTTTTCATTACCGAACACAAGAAACAATGCCGTTCTAAAGTTATGTAGGTAGGTGTATTAGATCTTTCTGTTTAATTGCAGCGAGATTATATAGCCGGTGGTTTATCTGGTGGTCAAAAACGTCGCCTCTGTGTTGGCATAGCGCTGAGCGGAGGTGCCCGTGTCGTGCTTTTAGATGAACCAACATCAGGCATGGATCCAGCTTCTCGACGCGCTCTTTGGGACTTGTTGCAGAAAAAGAAAAACGGTATTAACACTTAAAATATTTCTTTCAGTTTTAAATATAAAGTTTATTCGTTTTTATTATACTAGAATCCTTGGGACAGTGTTCTATTAATATAGACCAGTTTTTTCCACGGCTTTGTCCATGTGGCCTTTAGTTTAGCAACATTACTAGGTAGGTATTGCGTGCCAAAGTTACCAAAACGTAACACTTAGTGAAATCTTTGGTATCGGTCTGTTACAAACCTTAGTCGTTTATGATTTTATACGTTATTTTACACAGCTGATTTAAATTTGTTCGTTATGGGATTCAAAGCAAAATAAGAACATACCAAATCCCATGATTGTTTCAGGGCGATCAATGATACTTACAACACATTTCATGGACGAAGCGGATATCCTTGGTGATCGGGTAGCAATAATGTCAAGTGGCCGCCTCCAGTGTGTTGGCTCTCCTTATTTCCTCAAGCAACACTATGGCGTGGGCTACACGCTTGTTGTTGTTAAAAAGGAAAATTTCTCTTCTGAAAAGTGCACAGAAATTATTAATAAATATATCCCAAACACAACAATCAAGGAAGATCGAGGTAAGTACTTTGATTGCAAGGAATATGAGCTTGACTTTAATATGTAGTAATATTTTTTATGGATATTTGTTACAGGTTCAGAGGTGACTTATGCGTTGCCGAATATTTACTCTCATTTCTTCGAAGATATGCTGAATGATCTAGAAAAAAACATTGACAGAATTCAATTTAAAAATTACGGATTAGTTGCAACTACTCTGGAGGATGTCTTCATGTCGTAGGTTTTAACTGTGTTATATTTTTACAGCATGGTCTCATATAAAAATTATTAGATTTTTAAGAAATTCTATCAATAAAATATCTGTAAAATGTGCTTAGTGAATGATTACAGATTTTATACGTGGTAGAGCCATACTGACACTGACACGAATGGCCGATCCATTCGTCAACCGTGGAAGGACCATGCTCTCATAGAATACCTTTAAAAGTGGTAGAGCCAAGCGGCAGCCTTTGCTCTTGCACGTATGGGCAATGGACTGGCTCGAACCGAAGTGGTACCACGACCTCACAGAAGACCAGCGCGAAGTAGAAGATCTGCTTCTATATTTCTACTGGTGAGTGCATGTGGCCGGAGGCCCAATCCCCCCCTCCCTTAAAATGGTAGCGTAGTTAAATATAACACTACCCCATGAGGGTACCAACACCCCCGGTGACTGAGAATCCCTCATTGAACATCCACGCCCAAGCTACCCTACTCTTGCTGAGCGTGGGTGATCAGGCTGCCTCACGTATTATGGGTGTGGGGGGGGGGGGGGCGAAATTCTGCTCGAGACTAAACCTGCTCGGGGCAAACGAAGAAATAAGTTAAAGGCGCCCCCTGCCATGCTATCCGTGAATTTCTGCAACAGGAGACTTCATTCGAACCTTAAGGCCGTTCACTACCATCTGGAAACGGCGAAGCCGGTCTTGCTTTTTCTAACTAAGGCACAGGTGTCCTCTCCAGCTGATACTTCGTATCTCTCCTAACCGGGTTACAAATTAGAACACTCCTTTGTGCCCCAGAAGTTTACGTGAAAGTCAGAGAGGACATCTGTTTTCGACGCCTCGGCAGTTTCGAATCTATCTCCATCACCTCCTTGTTCCCTATAGCAATGGAATCCATTATTAACAGCCAGCTCATGCGGTACTTTGAGGATCACCAGCTGATTAGTGACCACCAGTATGGTTCCCGTTATGGCTCGGCTGGTGATCTTCTGGGTTACCTAACTCATAAATTAGCGGAGGCCGTAGAGTCCAAGGGGAAGGCGTGCACCGTTAGTTTGGACATAGCGAAAGTCTTCGATCGGGTTTGGCACAAAGCTCTTCTTACGAAGCTTCCTTCCTATGGGCTTCCCGAGAAATTGTGCGATTGGATCACCAGTTTTCTTGCAGATTAGAGCATCAAGGTCTTAGTAGACGGTGCATGCTCCGATTACAAGCCCATTAACGTTGGTGTTCCACAAGGCCGCGTGCTGTCACCAACACTGTTTCTTCTGCATACCAATGACATGTTGGAAACTGGTAACATTCATTGTTATGCAGATGACAGCACTGGTGATGCTTTGTACACCGACCGTGCCGATATTTATTGGCAAAACGTCGCCGAGTACCGGACAAACTTGTGTCAGCAGTCGAGACTTTGTTGAACAAAGTCTCGGGCACTGGGGGCGACTAAATCTAGTCCAGTTCAATCCCCAGAAGACACAAGTTTGCGCGTTCATCGTTAAAAAGAATCCCTTCGTCGTATCTCCTCAGTTTCAAGACACTCCCCTTGCCTCAGCCAGTATCGGTATCCTCGGCAACGACATATCGAGTGACGTGCAGTTTCATGGTCACTTGGAAGAGAAGGCCAAATTGGCCTCTAAAAAGCTTGGCATGCTTAGCAGAGCGGGACGGTATTTTATGCCCGCACACCGCCTACAACTTTACAAGATGCAGATTCGGCCGCACATGGAATACTGTTCCCGTGTCTGGGCTGGAGCTCCCCATTGCCAACTACTTCCATTTGATCGCATCCAGCGCAGAGCTGTTGGAATTGTCGGCGACCGAGCTCTTTCCGATCAGCTTCACTAACTTGCACTGCAAAGAGATGTTAAATCTCTTTGCGCATTTTATCGTATCTACCACGGGGAGTGCTCTGAGAAATTGTTCGGACTAATTCCAGCCACACAATTTTACCATCGCACATCGCGACAAAACTTGCGATAACATCGATACCATCTGGATGACTAGCGGTCCACCACTGTGCGACGTTTAAAAGAAGCTTTTTTTCTCACACTACTTCCTTGTGGAATCGACTACTACCAGAGATTTCTACGGATCGATAGGACTTAGGTACCTTCAAGAAAAGAGCCCACTCCTTTTTAAAAGACCGGCAACGCATCTGCAATCCCCCTGGTGTTGCAGCTGTTCATGCGCGACGGTAATCACTTACCATCAGGTGAGCCGTATGCTCGTTTGCCCCCTCTCCTATAAAACATCAACATCAACAGCGCAAAATAGCAGTTAAATGCCGCAGTATTTCGTATGGTGAGTGTAGAGAACTGGAGACCCTTTTTACTGGAAACGAGGCATTCCACCTTAGTATTTAGGGGTGGCAACTCATCTGTATTTTGATTCTTAATCGAGGATAGATGTAGATGTTTGTGCGCCACAGCATCCACTTACCATCAGGTGAACTGTGTGCTCGTTTGTCACTCACATTCTGTAAAAAAAGAAATGATATTATGTGATGATAATTTCGTTATTTTCGTCGTCTTCGGGTGGAAAATAAATTGGGCGACAAACGAGCACTCAGTTCACCTGATGGTAAGTGGATGCTGTGGCCCTTAGACATCCACATTTATCTTCAATAAAGAATCAAAGTGCAGATGCACTCTCACCCCTGAGTACTAAGATGGAATGCCTTGATTCCAGTAAAAGAGGTCTCCGGTTCTCTACACTCACCATACGAAACACAGCAGCATTACGTTGCTATTTTACGCTGGTATTCTGTGAGAACGTGTTCCTACCTCGGTCAAGCCGACCCATTCGTGTTACAACTATAATATAGCTGCAGCGTAGCTTTACCACGTAACATAAAAAACAACTAACAAGTACTTTTATAACATAAGGATTGTTCAAAATTTTAGCGTAGGGTCCGATGTAGAGATACTCTCCGATATGGATGATAGCGCTACCGTGACTACGAACAGCACCGAAGACGTACTCAAGTGTGAATGTGGTTCTACAGAATACCGTAAGCTTCTTAAATATGAGTAGGTACATAAAAATTATAAAAGAATGGGTAATAAATAGACACCAATACTTGACTGCTCCGGGCGCAGTTGCTTAGCAATGAGTTGCGACGCTGAGGGTCGCGGGTTCGAACCCCGCACGAAACAAGTATTTGTATGGCCTGCAAATAATTATTCTGGATGTAAGTCCTTGTGAAATTTATACATATAAACTACCTCCACGATACAGGAGTAAATCCTAGTATAACGTTTTTAGTCTTTTGTAAAAGAATACTAATAAATCTTTAGTAATACCTGAAATCTCTGCTCTACCGACATTTGGTTGTTTTATACATTTCCTTTTGTTTCTTTCGATAGTTCATAAACAAAATTTCAATTCACTTAAGTACCTATTATCTTATTATAGCAACATAAAATATTTGTTTTCCGTATGTATCTTTTTGTTTATTTATCACTTTATCAGATATAGGTAATTAAATCTTGTAGTGGCGGGCGGGTTAAGAAATTCACTGCCATTACTTTCCGCGAGTGTGTTAATAGCTTACTATAAGAAATTCCCAAATAATCTCATGACTTGTACTGGCGGTTTGGTCATTTATAAGCCAGATATAAAATAGAATATTCAGACTGTGATGACCTAGTTTTAAAGATGTTCGGTACTGATGCCGCCAACGCGCCTGATAGCGCAATGAATAAAAGCTTTTCAGTTTAATTCGGGAGCTGAAGAAAAATAATTTTAAAAATATATTGTTATTATTACTATGCTCAGATATCTCTTAAATTTGCAATAACTTTGACTACGAGTGCAGATATTATATTAATTAATTCAAACATCGCTCCACTTACCTTTGAAATTCTTCTATTACAATTATTTTGCTAAAATTTTGCTAAAAACTATTTTTACAGATTTTATCACGTTTAATTTAACTCCCGATCTTTCGGGTGCTTTCCAGCACCCATTCAGGTCAGCAGCACCAGCACTGGGGACTTAGGTGACTAACAACCCGATGTAATGTTAACCGATACTAAACGCTTTAAATTATAAATAGTTTAAATTTAATTGCGATAAAATCCGTAAAAGTAGTTTTAATCAATGTGTAGGTAGGGTTCGCGTAAATATAAGAAATCATGATACTATGAGAATTCACGTTTAGACGATTTTTCTTATCTTTTATGAAATATGTTTCAATTTTTTTTGTATATATACCGATCTCTTGCGACAATATATTTTAATAATTTGATAACATATATTTTAATAATTGATTCATGTTTAAATTGCCTCTTCTCCCAACAAAAATGATTAATATACTGTTAGGGTAAAATTTAATAGTTAAAATTTTATTCATAATATAGCTGAATGATGCTCCAAGCATGTAGTAATTACTTGTCTGTTGCCCTTTTAAACAGTTATTTAATGACATTCCCAAGTTTTTACCTATGTCATCACACTTATCACTTTACATTGTAACATTATTATTTTCATCATAGAATACTATAATACGGAATAGAATGGCTGTCAAACTTATTTTGCACAAGATTCCGCATCGTCGGGAGCACACATACAAGCAATTACGTCGTATTATCACTACTAGAAACCCGATTTGCTGTTTTAACAGACTGAGTAAATTTACTCATTTTAGACTTTTGATGTTCAAAATCATCATTAAAAAAGTCGTTCAAATTTTAATACATATTTATATGTAAATATTGTGCAATTTGGTATTTTCTAAATAATCTGCATGCGAAATTTGGAAACGATTGTTACGTCAAAACACATCTCTTGTTGACATTTAATACGTGTGAAATGTGAATTGACATGTTATTGATATTTTAGTGGCTACACGGGCTCCGCACACTCCTCTGTTCTATTATGTATGTATTATATGATTATACATATAGTATTCTATGATTTTCATTATATAAATAACTTTTTACTCGTAAATTGTCTGCTTTGTTATATACTGCCATAGGGTTTAGGTGAAGAAAATGAGGTATAGCTGTTTGTCATCTTATTAACACACACTGTCCCTAAATAACCGAGCATTGAACGCTGATGTTAATTTTGATATTTTAATAAGAAGTCAAAAAGTTTCTTGTTATATTTAGATGATTTTACGAAATTATTATCCATGGCCAGTACGTGTTCTTTTATCTCATTCTCTGCTGTTTTATATTTGTTTGATACATTTTGTAATTAGGTTTGAAGTGATAAAATTTCTAAACTAAGACACTCTATTTTAGTCTCGTAACAATTTTTCATATTTTCCCCCTCAATTGAATATAATTTAAGTTTTAAGTTTACGAATTATCTCAGCTTTTCCTTACATAGAATTTATATATTTTTTGCATTAATTTTGGCTGTAACAAATTTTTGCACTTTCCTAAAATATTTATCGATTTATATATTTATATATATATATATATATATATATATATATATATATATATATATATATATATATATATATATTACATATACATATTTTTTTTAAATTTGCTTTTATTGCCAGTAATCCTTTTTGATTTTAAATAATACTAGTTTTTACGGATTTTATCGCGTATATTTAACTTTTTAAATACCCGACGTTTCGAGCACTTTACAGCACCCATGGTTACGGGGGGGGGGACCGAGATGGTCAACGTCCAGATGTCATAGTTAACCACGGTTACCATAGATTAAAATTATTAACTTTTATTCCGATCCACGCAGTATGAACTTATGGTATCTAGAAGTCTTGCAGTTGTATGCTTGGATTAGGATTTAATTTTATTAATTATAGAATCCCAACCATTGCTGGTTGCAACAATAGATTGCAACCAGCCATCGTCTCTATTGAAATTAGGATGTTTTTGATTTCAATAGCCTCGCGAATCATCCTTGGATGGAATAGGTGTTCTTTAGCGAGGATTTCTGGTCTATAAAATCTGATGTAGTGACCGGGGTGATCCTGTATGTGTTCACAGACTGCAGACTTCCCGGAGCGTCGATTCTTCACATGAGCTATATGTTCTTTAACGCAGGATTTAATTGATCTTTTAGTTTGTCCTATCTAGGAGAGACAAGATTGACAATCAAGCTTGTACACTCCTGCATCTTGCAGAGGGACGTTACATTTGACTGATGGTAAAAACTGACCAATCTTCTTCGGCGGTTTGAAGTATGTTTTTCGTTGCCAGTTGGAAGCGCGCTTCAAGATGTAGCCAATCTTGTCTGTTGTGAAAGTGTCGTCTCCGTACCGCTTGTAGAACCTTGGATTTACGGAATAAGTAATTAGGGCATTTTTATACGTGGTAGAGCCATACTGCAGTCATAATAGTAGTATATTTTTACCACGAATGGGTCGGCTCGACCGGGGAAGGACCACGTTTTCACAGAATACCAGCGTAAAATAGTAGCTTAGTGCTGCTGTGTTTCGTATGGTGAGTGTAGAGAACCGGAGACCCTTTTTACTCTTCACGGGTTTTCACGGGTGACAACGCATCTTCATTTTGATATGTTATCGAGTATATATGTAGATGTCTATGGGCCGCAGCAACCATTTACCATCAGGTGGACTGTGTGCTCGTTTGTCTCACTATTCTATAAAAAAGAGCTTTCTCCTCAAAGTCTTCCATGAATATGTCGGCGACATTGGGAGATACAGGTGAGGCCATCGCCACACCATGTACTAATTTGTAGAACTCCTCCTTCCACAAAAAGTTAAATATACGCGATAAAATCCGTAAAAACTAGTATTATTTAAATGTGTAGTGTTCGCGTAAATATAAGAAATCATAATCGTTTCCGGTGTTCTTGATGTGGCTGAATCATCAGTCAAATTCATTTTTGTAGAGGGCTACAATGTTTCTAAAGCTCATTGAATAGATTCTGAATTCGAAATGCTTGCCAGTTATCAATGTATTGCTTAAATTGTGAAATATGCTTATTAGCTTCAGTTACCTGTAACTACAATGCAGCAATTAATCTGACGGTTTCCTTATATTCTTTGCTGCATCGGTCAAAATCATCGACTGTCCCCTGAAGCTGATCCCTTTCCTTTATTACACTTGTATACTCTCCATGTAACTTCATCATATCACGTTTTAGTATAGCATTTTACGAAATTATACTTACTTTCTTTCCATTGTCATCGCTTTCTTTGAGCAACAGCTCAACTCGTGCCGTGGTAGTTCAGGGGATAAGAACTTGCATTAAAATAAGCAGAGAGAGCAACGCGATTTAGATTTCACCGGCAACACTGAAAAAGTTAGTTAGTTTTTTTTTAGAATAAGGCTGACAAATGTGTACACACTCCACAGGACCGTAAGTAGACAATGTTAAAGTCAAGAATCTAAATACCTATTTCTTATATATTATATGCCTACGCTCTCAATACAATACCATGCACAAGCAAACTAACACAACACACAAACTGCGCACAGCAGTGTTATGCTGTGCGTAGTTGTTGAGCTAAGCCGATCCAATCGTGATGTAAACGTAATACTACTGCATCGTGGCGTTTCGCCGTGGCGGCGAAGAAAATCGTGAGCATACTAATTAGCCCGAGAAACTAAAAAGGAATTCAAGGATATATGAAGGTTGCCAACACATTATAACAGTGTAGTATACGTTTTCCTGCTCCGGCAACCCTTCAGAAATCAAGAAAGGCTAACTGTAGGAGACCCATTAATAAAATATCAAATACCTATCTCTTAACATATATTATCACGATGGATTGTAATAAAATTAAGTCTTATTAATTTTTTACTTGCAGTAGACAAAAAAGACGAAAGTATTCGTGGATGGAGACTTTTGTGTTTTCATTATTTCGCAATATGGCAAAAACTTTTATTGGTCTGGAGTAGATCTTGGGGTGTGCTGTTGTTACAAGTTCTTGTGCCATTGCTCATGATAAACATTTCACTGGGTATCCTTCAATATATTATTTCTCACTCACCATCCATACAGTCAAGGCCTCTTACGCTTGCAGAAGGGTAAGTTTAATGAAATAAACACTTTTATTATTTCGTTAGTTAAATTTGTATGTATAAATATTAGCCATTTTTTGAAGTTAAACTTCTTTACGCACGTGTGATTTGGGGAGTAAGCTGACGGACACGTGACCACAGCGTTATAAAAAGTGTGATCAGGCGAGACGAACGGGAGTTGAGTGGGTATAAGCAAGAGAGAGCAGTGCGCGCGCACATTTTCTTTCTCTCTTTCTCTCATAGTCACAATTAATATTTTGTTTCTACGTTTAAAGTGAATAAAATTGTAAATTAATTTTAAAGTTCACGTTTTGTCAATTTTCGAGTGGATAATAACAAATTATGGAAGGAAGCCGATAATAAATTTAAATATTTGTAGAAAATTAGGAGGAGGTTCACAATTAGATTTTTTATGGGTGGTTCTCATTTTAATTTATATTGAAGTCAGTTTATACAATTTCTTTTATTATACCATTTGTGTTATAAAATAAATTAGTAAATAGGTATTTCACTAGTGCAGAAGTCTTTTCATTTTTCAGTATTTGCTCTACTGATTACTGAAATTGTCTTTCGAATAAGAAATTGCAAGCGAATTTCTCATGATTTCAAGTGAGAGAAAAAATAAATTGCTGGATTAAATGTTCATCGTTCATTGACATTCAAAGTAGAAATTTCCAGCTCCGATGACTTACATCGATATCTTTATTCTTATACTATCTTATACTAGCGATGCGCCCCGGCATCGCACGGGTTCTGGATCTTGACAACAGCGCCACCTACCGGGTCCAATTGTGAATCTAAATCATTGAGGGTAATACAACCATACCTTCTCAAACACACTATATTTCATCAAAATCGTTTGAGCCATTTTCGAGTTTTAGCGAGACTAACGTACGATGATTGATTTTTATATAATTATAGAGATTAATTAAATAAATACTGAATGAAAAACGAACTGTTTAAATTTATGAAATTAATGGTAAATGTTTAATTAGTGCGTGTAAATACACACAACCATCCACTAAAACTAAGTCTAAGAACGAAATAAAATAAAATATACCTATTTTATTTTTCTGACGTAGGAAATTAAATTAGGCAAATGCAATTTTAAATGTAATTTTCAATGAAATTTTTCAACCTACTAAACATATAGTGCTTCTTATATAACCTAAAACGTTGAACGTTTGAATCGGCTCCGGAAAACCACACAGTAGTCACTTACCATCAGATGAGCTGCATGTTCGTTTGCCTCTCCTTATTTATAAAATACTCAATGTAAACGTAATATCACCTGCATGTATATTTCTGCTACCAAATGAAACCGCCAAGCGTAGAAACTATGGTAAAATCTCTCTCATGTAAACTATACTCACAGAATACCAGCGTAAAATAGCAGCATAATACTGCTGTGTTTCGGTGAGTGTAGAGACCCGGAGACTTTTTTTTATAGAGGATAGGGTAACAAACGAGCACACAGTCCACCTGATGGTAAGTGGTTGCTGTGGCCCATAGGCATCTACATCTATCCTCGATTAAGTTTCAAAACATAGATTTGTTGTCACCCCTGAGGACTACAATGGAATGCCTCGTTTTCAGTAAAAAAAAAAACACAATTTTTACTGGAAACGAGGCATTCCATCTTAGTCCTCACGGGTGACAACGCATCTCCATTTTGATTCGTAATCGTGGATAGATGTAGATGTCTATGGGCCACAGCATCCACTTACCATCAGGTGGACTGTGTGCTCGTTTGTTACCCTTATTCTATTAAAAAAAATCTATGATGATGATGGCCTATATTCAGCAATGCACTTTCATTGCTTTAATGGTAATTGATAACCTATATCTGTTCAATTTTATTTAGTAACAAATCACTAGTATTGCTTTTAAATGAATGAATATAAATGTATGTCTTATTTTATTGCAGATACGTAGCTACAGAATCATTATTGAGTTACAATGTTACCTCAGAGACAGGGATCGGTGCTTGGGCTAAAGAGGGATACGAGTTGTTTTTTGGAACTAATGATGTTAACACCATGACACTGACAGTCGTTGACGGCAAACCTATTGATGAATATTACCTTGAAAGGGTTAGTATATATAAACATACATAATACATAAACTCTCACGCCTGTTACCCAGAGATGTAGGCAGAGACTACGGATTTAGCACTTCCATTTTTAACGTGGTAGAGCCATGCTGCAGCTATATTAATTGTATAGTTGTAGCACGAATGGGTCTGCTCGATCGGGGAAGGACCACGCTCTCACAGAATACCAGTGTTAATTAGCAGCTTAATGCTGCTGTGTTTCGTGTGGTGAGTGTAGAGAACTGGAGACCCTTTTTACTGGAAAAGAGGCATTCCATCTTAGTCCTCACGGCTGACAATGCATCTGCATTTTGATTCGCAAACGAGAATAGATGTAGATGTCTATGGGCCACAGCCACCACTTACCAGCAGGTGGACTGTGTGCTCCCGTGTCACCATTTTCCTATAAAAAATTCATGATCCTGAAACGCGTCTCTTGCTTCATTCACATCCGGTGCTTTCTTACTTCTTACAGGGGTTTCTTATCTTCTCATTTAAAATCGCGTTTAACATAATTCTAAATGACCGCATTTCTTCAGCATAATTATATTGCATAATTTTACTCTCTCCTGCTTCTTCTACCATACCCATCTTTCACTAACCACATCATTTTGAATTGTCATACATATTTATCTGATATTTTCAGAATTCCCACAAAAGAGTTACGAGGTCCCTAAACGGTCTTCAATTTATGGTTTACATAAATATTAACTTATTCTGCAGTTCCAAATTTAAACTTCGTCTCATCTGGAAACTATTCAGATCTCTAATTCATCATGATTTTTATTTTTAATATAACTCCTAAGTCATCTAGAATGTTTTTGTTACAACACTTACAAATTATAATGTGACATAATCATTATCGTCATCATCATCATTACAGCTCTTCACAATTCCACTGCTGAACATAGAAATACCGCAAAGCACTGTACTGAGCCACCTACATCCATCGACTTCCCACATGTCTTACCATTTCGTCACTCCATCTAGTGGGGGAGGGGCGCCCTACACTTCACCTGCCGGTACTAGGCTGCCACATGAGAACCTTTTTTACCTTCGGTTGTCAGTTCTGCGAGATATATGGCTGGCTTATTGCAACTTCAGCTTCCTAATCCGTTGGGATCTACAGCGGATATCCTCATTTCTAAGGTTATTACGCAGAGAAAGCCCGAGCATATTCCTCTCCATAGCTCGCAGAGCGACCTTGAACTTCTGCATACAGTCAGCAGTGAAGGACTACGACTCAGATCCATGAGTCATCACTGGCAACACGCATTGGTTGTATAATCTCGTTTTCAAGTTTTGAGGTATATCTGAAGAGAAGATGTGTCGTATTTTCCCGAACACTGCCCCGCCGAGTTAAATCTGTCGATTGACTTTTATGTCGAAGTTGGACTTACCTAGGGTTATTTGTCCCGGGTAAACATACTTGCCAACAATTTCGAGCTCAGTGATCTTAACAACTACCGACATAAGTGTGACATGGACGTTATCTTTGTTTTGACCATCCTAAGATCTATCCGTTGGGAGGCACTATTATGTTATCATAATGTGATTTCCATTATATAGTATAGTTATTCCAAGCTTAAAATCACGCTAATTTTTATCTGATTATTTACAATAGATTAACATAAGCAAAATATTGGATAATAACGTACGTCAGCTAATCACCGATAAATTTTTGTATGAAACAGATAAAACCCACCTTTTACGAACGTGACTCTAAATACAGATATGTAGGTAAAGTACTAATGTATATATAGTTATAGTATATTAAGGTAATAACACTTTATAAATCTACGCAATTGATAAAGAATTATCTACTTTTCACGGTTGGAAATGGATCTTTCTCGTTGTAAAGTTGAAATGACATAGAAATGTATCAAAAAAAGTACGTGTGAAAATTCATAATGCTGTGTTAGTCACTAATAGTAGTGACAGGCGTAGCAGAAAAAGCATGGAGGTTTTAATAATGCTGTGGAAATGCAGTCATTAATGGTCGCTACACACGGTCAGTTCAACTGATCAGTTCAAACTAAAACTGTTGATATTTTTTTAATTAGTGGATTTTCGATATACCGATCATTATAAATATATTAATATCGGAGTTTTACATACAAGTTTATTTATCGATATATCGGAAATCGGATATTTTAAAAAATATCAAATTTTAGATTGAACTGATCAGTTGGAATGGTCAGTTGAACTGACCGTGTGTCGCGACCATTAGAATTGTGTTAAGCTGACTCGGAACGATAGAGTGAAGAATTAAGAATTGAGGTCAAAAGTCCCGAAAATATGCAGATCTTATTTATCAAAAGGTTTAAAAACGAAAATTGTTAAGTATGGGTTATTATACTACTAGAGAGATAACCACTGGATATGAGTTGATCGATACCGTGCTGTTTCTAAATGTTTTCATAGCAATTGTATAAATATTAAATTGTAAATAATGCTTTTAAATAAAAGTCCCGCTGGGTTTCTTGCTGATTCTTCCCAGGGCACCGGTTTTTTTTCTGAATCCAATGGTAAAACTAAAAAATGGCTTTCAATAGGAATTACATGTACCTCATCTATACGAAATAAAAATGATTCTATTGCATGCCTTAAGCGCAAAGCGCGTAGGTATTTTCTACTAGCGTCTAAAAAATTTGTGTGAATACTTTAAAAATTGACGTATATCATGAGCGCTTAAGGCATGCACATTTGAATTTATCAGAAGTTTTTATATTCTATTAGTGAGTGGCTAAGTCGGCAAGGAACGCTCTAGACGGAAGTTTGTCGACCACGGGTATGTTCCAAAATACAACCCAGTGTACTGTCCAATGCAAATGACGTCATGAATCGATGTTATACTGGTGATTCGTTCCAAAACATAGGACAGTATATGACGTCATACATTTGCGACATATTGGTAAAGTGTTGGCGATTATTTTGTCATTTTGTGCTCCAACAATCATTATATCCTCCTAATGGAGATACCAGCAATTATTCTACAATTTTTTGTATTAGAATAAATAAAAACAAATTCTGGCATGCTTCATTCAGCGATACATACAATAAAAAATTATTCTATTATGGCCGGATATCCGAGACAATATGGCGGCGGCACGCCAGTACAATATGGTGTCAATTGATGACGTCATTTGTATTCGGCAGTATACTGAAAACGTTTTGGAACATACCCCAAATTGACGATGGGCTATGAGTACCTTTAATCGACGAGCATGTATACGTATACATATGGATGTGAAGTAAACGAGAGAGCTCTGTCAGGATCGTGCCGAATGAAAGTCTGTAACATGTGCCTATCCCTCTGGGTAACATGCGTGAGAGTTTATGTTATGTTAGGTATGTTATATTAATACATACGTTATAAAGATATATTTTTATATGTATATTAGCATGAATAATTTCTGTAAGTGTTTATTATTATTGCGTTATCATCTATTGTTCTTTTAACAGATAGAAAGTTCGATGTCAATAGGAGGTGTTCGGAATCGTTTGCTGATAGGTGCAACTTTTACGGATGACTCTGTTACGGCGTGGTTCAGTAACTTCGGCTATCACGACGTGGCTACTTCGCTGGCGACAGTGCACTCTGCTTTCCTTAAGTCTTGGAACACCGCTGCAAGTCTTAACGTGTTCAATCATCCTCTTGAAGCTATTTATAAGGATCAGGTGCGTGAAGTTTACGAAAATCGACAAAAAAACTTTTTTCATCTGGGTTTCTGTTTTAATGCATAAATTTTGATGCTTGACATCAAAAAACATCAAAATATCCATTCTTAACTTTTAAAGTTTACTTTCTGTCTTATATATATATATATATATATATATATATATGATATTTCTTGCTTTGGGATTCTAATTATAATTTGTCGAATAGGTGCGACGTGCAATATAAAATAAACCAAAAAAAGAAAAACATATTATTAAAAATAATATTTATAAAAATATATGAATGATATATAGGATATTTAAATCAATTTGAAGTAATACAATATATTGGTTGATTTTTTTTACCGTCTGGAAAAAATAAGGTGTAACAGGTGAACGGAACCTATAAGCCTATGGCACTGATATTATTACAATTTTTTTTACTTAAAATATTATGTTATTGTACTATGAATTAATACTACTAATTGGGTTCGTATTGTTTTGCGATTTATTTATTTAGTTAAAAAAATTGTTTTTATTTTTTTATTACCAAAAGTTTATTTTAAATTAGTGGTATTTATTAATAATTCAATTTCATAATATGTCAATGTAAAAGCTAAACAATTTTAAAATATCAGTGCCATAGACTTCTATTGCGTTGACCTGTAAGATCCTTTTATTCCAGACGGTAAAAAAATCATCTAGTATATTTACATATATATGAATTAATATAAAATTTACATATATCCACCATTTGAAACGATACGTCGCGTTCTTCATCTCGCGCCCGCACAGTGATCAACCAATTACTGGTCCCCTTTCCTATACAACACCTCGTTTGGTATATCATATATTAATAAAATTATGCATATATATATATATATATATATATATATATATATATATATATATATATATATATATATATATATATATCAATATGTAACGTAATTAACGCACACCCTCAGACACCCCAATTAGTATATTATGTTATAATCATAATGCATATACTGAATTTTTAGTTAAACATTTTTATGCACTGATTATTTGTCAAATTAGTTATACTAATTCCGGAAGAATGTTGTGGTCACAGTACAAATCTACGAACTCAAAGATTTTAACGTGCTTGTAATAAAGTTCATTTTTCTTTATTTTTATTGAAAGACAGAATTACAAATAAAACTGCACTCTTAAAAGTCTTATTGCTTTAAGTTACGGTCCATTTCAGTTTGTTTTGACTGTACAGATTTAGTGTGACTGTAATTTATGAAGTTTTAATTATTTTTGGGATAAAAAATTACCTATATTAAAAATGATAGGAATCGATTCAGTAAACGATTCTGAACAAATTACTTTCTCAAAGTGCGTTAATTATGTTACATGTTGTATATACAGGATGTTAGTGTAAACACCGTTATCCTTGAAACTAGTGGTTTTGTTTCCCCTATAGAACGTAAAATCAATGAAAAATAACAACATTTTTTTCGTAAAATCTCAATTTTTCCTGAATTCCTCAATTTTTGCCTGTCCTAAGCCAGGATGAAAGTATGAAGGAAAAGTTACATCACAGGTTATGTGTACCTATTGTGTTTTTATTGGAATGTTGTGTAGGTAGCTAGCGCGGGCGGTAATCTATACAGTGATTACGTCACTCGGGCGCGTAGGATATCCATGAATTTACGGTATTTATATATATATACACGACCACGAGTATATTAGTATATAAGTATACATATTCATATATATGGAGTATTTAAAGTCAAGCTATAGACTGAACGCAAATTGTGGTCATGAAATTCATGTCGACAGTGAAATTACCTTGGAGTTGTTTGTTAAAACGCTTTCTGTGTTACGAGTGCTTGGGACGTTTTCTATGTATTACTGAGTTAGAAAAGGGCGTCAAGACAGTGTAAACAAGATGTCGATTCATTTATTATTAAACAACATGTTGATTTATGCATTCATTGTTTCATTTCGGCGAATATATTAAGAAATAATTAATTTTTTTTGGGAACAAATCTAAAGCTTTGTAAAGCTTACGAAACCTAAAATAACCTGTGAATTTTATTATTTGTAGTTGTCAATCAATAAGACAATTTAGGAAAGGAATTTTAAAGGACCCATTGAAAGGAAACGTCACGTTCTTCATCTCGCTCCCGCACAGTGATTAACCAATTACTGGTCCCTTTTCCTATACGACACTTCGTTGGGTTCGGGAATCGATCCGGTGGGAGTTACTCCTGATAGAACGTTCGACTTAGAACATTAACCGCTCTCTCCAAAGAAAGTGATTGACGACTAAGATTACGGGCCCGAAGTAATAGTGCCGGTCCTGATGTCGGTCATGTACTTAGTGGACTGTATAATATCTTCTTACTTCCCTACTTATAGGGTAGGCACTGGCGAAATAAAACAGCAATTGTTCATAAATGCCCCATGGAAATGTGAAAATGAACTTTCACTACTTTTCCTTAAATTTTCCTAATTTTCTTCTTTTACTTATGCTCATCTCCTGTCACTCCCGCCGCCTTTTACTACATCCACGAGTTGATGGTGTAGTGGATTCTCCTACTACACGGCATGTCGTAGGCGTACACGCGGTGTATTGTTGTCATTTATATGATTATGTAACTATTATAAAATTTGAAAAAAGTGAGATCAGTAACACTATTTTTAGCTTTTAATTTGGGAACTCACTAAAATTAAATTTGAATATAATTCATTTACCTTGGTGATTTATCGTCATAATTACAGCACTTCTGAAGTCTACTGTTAAACATAGGCCTTCCCCAATGTCACAAAATACCTATACCTTGAGCCACCCACATCCATCGACTTCCTGCATTTTTTACCAGATCGTTACTCCATCTAGTGGAGGTTATCCTATGCTTCATTTACTTCTGCCACTCGATAATCTTTATCTCAACTGGTAGGTAATTAATACGTCGTTTTTATATTTTTATAGGACAACTTGCAACTTATGGTTGCTTTTTTATCTACGCAAGTTGCAACAAGTCTCGGAAATAGTTTGGGAATAGTGAGTGCTGCTTACATCATGTTTTATATAAAGGTATAATCATATTTTATTGTATAAATTAGTGCTTATTATGCAAAAAGATTCACTAATAACGGGAATAAAAGAACTCATATGCTTAGTTATGCTTATGATGAAACGAAGCGACAGTATACTTAGGGATGAAACGAAGCGACAGTAGCCTAACGGCAGGGCGCGGATCGCGAAATCAAAAAGGTCGTGGGTTCGAAGCCGCCATTCGACTACTGGCGAGTGGTTAAGGGGAATATTAGTAATGTTTATAGCATTGTTAATATTCTTTAAAAAAATTTAAGTAAAGATACATCATAATCGGCTCTTAATAGTACTGGGTTTCGTGTATAAACAATGCAACTGGCAACTGTTGCTAAAGATTTTTTATTAGAGTTACCGATAAAATATTTCTCATCATAATAATTGAAGGACAAAAACGAATTTCCTGGCGGTGAGTGGCTACTGTAGTTAATGGCCACCGGCTCCCAAATAAAGAAGACTACAAATGCCGTAGATCCAATTTTTTTATTTATTAAAGCAAAGTAAAAGCCACGCTCCAGCTATATTATGATTGTACACACATTGTTGACCACGCTCTCACTGAATACCAGCGTAAAATAGCAGCTTATTACTGCTGTATTTCGTATGGTGAGTGTAGAGATCTTAGTCGTCAGGAGTGACAACGCATCTGCGTTTTGGTTCTTAATCGAGGGTAAATGTAGATAGATGTCTACGGGCCACAGCATCCACTTACCATCAGGTGGACTGTACGGGCATAATTACCTACTATATCGTGTCGTAGGTAGGAGTAGTAACCTAAATTGTTCACGTTTTTAAGTATTGATAAAATATGCCTATCATATTATGATAATATATCACATTTAATTAAAAGACGACGAATTTTAATGCGTCACATTGAAAAACACCTCTAATTACTCGCAATATTTTTTATTATCTTTTAAACAAAGAAGCTGTTATTGTAACTAGATCGACATAGTGCAGCGTAGTATTTGAAAAATATTGAAAAAGTCCAATATGTTAGTCAATTTTATATTCAAGAATTGAATATAAAATGTTAGCTGTTAGCCGCAGTAACGTAGCGCACGCCAAGACGCGAATTCTTTCATTGGTAAATTTTTAACACCTTGGATTAAAAAAAAATGGAATTTGGAATAGAACTTTTTTACAAATAATTTCGCGTACGTACTAATTGAATTTGAAATTTGTATATTGTTGTAAAATCCGTGAAGTAGCATTTATTAGCGTTATTGAGTAACAAACAAACGTCCACATATACAAGTAGCCACATCTAATGTCGCTGTTATCACTTGCTAGATGCTATTCATTATTCTTTAAAAATACAGAAATCATAGTTTTAATTTAAAATAAAAGTCCTCAATAACGAGAAAAGCTCATTTCCGTGAGTTTTGAGAGTTGATGATGAAATACTAAAAACAATGAGTAATAAAAAAGTAAAGTCACAGCCTCTCAAAGAAGTGTCCACCACTCTGCCCCAACGCATGTTGGCGAACTTTAAATGTATTCTATTTTTTTGACTACACAGACGTGTTTTTCATAGAGTAAGGGTAACAAACGAACACAGTCCACCAAATGGTAAGTGAATTGAGTTGAGTCGACCCACTCCCACTCGTGTTACAACCATAATACAGATGTGGCATGGTTCGATCACATAAAAATACACATAAAGCAAGGCTCTACCTAGTAAACATATTGCGGCAATATGACTCTACCTCGTAAAATTATTGGTGCAGTATGCCGGTTTCCTTAACGTAGTACTTGAAATAATAATGGTGCTGCGTAATAGTTATGTCACGATTTTGGGTGTAAAACTTAGGTGAAGAGACTATACAACCTTAGAGTTATCATAACTATTTAAGAGCGTACCGGATACGCGCCTTGGTTACATTTTTAATTGAAATTCTTTGATGTCTTTCAGGAACGTGTTTCCCGCGCCAAATTGTTGCAAAAAGCAGCCGGGGTGCAACCGGTTGTGTTGTGGGGAGCTGCGGCGATTTTTGATTGGTTCTGGTTTCTAATTGTTTCTCTTACAGTTATCATATCCTGCGCAGCGTTTCAGGTCATCGGAGTCTCCACCTTAACAGAGTTAGGTAAAAATAATTTGTTAAGCTTTGTATTTTAAACTTATGAAAGTGACTTGTGAAACTTTTTACCCACCTGCGTAAAGACAAATACTTCTGTATTCCCTCTTATTATATTCTTTTCTTCTATTTTCAACCGACTTCAAAAAAGGAAGAGGTTCTCAATTCTACAGTATTTTTTAATGTGTGTTACCTCAGAACTTTTCTGAGTGAATTGATTTTGTTCATTCTTTTAGTATTTTAAAGCTGGTGTTTCTTATGTGATCCCATATAAATTTGATCAAGATCTGACAAGTAGTTTTAAGTTATCCTTAATAATGCGTGTTTGACTTCGTCTACGTTGATGATGTTCTCATTTTATTTATATTGAGGTCGGTTGTACAATATTTTTAATTTTACTATTTCTTTCCATTAACATTTAGGGCAATTAAAACACTTAACTCTATATAACTACGATATTAAAACACTTAACTAAAATTTAATAAATGTATTTTTGCAGTATCTTTGAAGTAATTTTATTGCAGGTCGTTTATACCTCTGCTTAATGGTGTACGGCGCGGCTATGTTGCCTTTACACTATCTCTTTTCGCATATATTATCCGGACCTGCATTGGGTTTTGTGATTATGTTTTTCATTAACGTTTTATTTGGTAAGTGATTCAATACACTAGTATCATTGTCATCATTACATTCGTTCTCAACTCCAATACTGAACATAGGCGTACCCCCCAAGTAACGTGTGAGACCCTTTTTATTGGAAACGAGACATTCCATCTTAGTAGCCATATCCTCGGGGGTGATAACGCATCTGCATTTCGATTCGTAATCGAGGATAGATGTAGATGTCTATGGGCCGCAGCAACCATTTACCATCAGGCGGACTGTGTGCTCGTTTGCCACCTTATCTTATCCTATAAAAAAAAATATGTCAAAAATACAGTCTTGGATCACCTGTATTCACCAAACTCGGTTTTTGGCATGCCATTAAGATATGACATTTTGCAAGCTTTAAACATTTTTGTTGTTTGTTTGTCCGGGCTACTTTTCGAAATGGCTTAACCGATTGTGATGAAACGTCACCATTAAATAGAAACAAATTGTGAAATCGAAAAACTGATAAAATATTTGCTTTTCGATGATTATTATCTACTTATTAAACTAGTAAAGATATCAAAAAAAAATTACGAACAGAATTTTGTTAACACCTATCTTCTTTCTCTTAAAATGTTGATGTAAAACCAATTTTTAACATTTTTTTTTACTTTAACGCCATTTCACAACAAAACTATGAGTGTAAAAGGATAAGGTAAATTAGACCTTTTTTACATGAAATTAATAGATCTTCGATATTTAATTTATGCATTTTACCACAATATAGCACAACATTTTTGAGATAATAGAAAAAAAATAGTTTATTATTACATAATTTAACTACTTGCCAATAATGGATCTGCAGTTTTTTTTGCTGTTCTACTACGGGAACAATGTCGTGATTACAGGCTAGTAAATCAATAAATTTCATTAAAATTTTAGATTATTTATAATTATTCGACTTATTTTAGGACATTTGTTATTTCGGCTACATAATAATATATTACAGGTATGATGGGGGCACAGATAGTAGAGGCATTGGCATCACCACAATTGGATACAAAGGACGTGGCTGAAATTATGGATCAAATTTTACAATTTTTCCCGTTATATAGCCTTGTGACCTCTGTCAGGTACGATTTTTATAAAATGACCGCAGAATTATCTTCAAATTATACAGTTTATAAAATTCGTATAATGTATCATCGAAAGTAAAATCCGAATGGATTGATGTTGCGATATTTAATTCATGTTTAAATTTTAATCATATAAGCTTCCCACCGCTACTCGGAAAACTCTTTGGACTTGTAAATTTTTTTATAAGGTCCTTGATTGAATGTTATTTTTTTCGTTTTATTCCGAAATTTGAAATTTTGATTTTATTTTTAAATTTCAATTTACTACGGCTTGTTGGTTTAACAATGATGATGCTGTAAACGATTTCATATTAATTGTTTTTTATACAGCCTATATGAGTCCCACTTCTGGGCACAGGCCTCCCTTCATTTATGACAGGGTTTTAGGGCAAGGAAGTGTCCGCCGCGCAGCCCCAATGCGTGTTGGCGAACATGTCTTCGAAATATTTTTTTTTATATTATTTAAATCAGACATGGAGGTTTCCCCAAGATGTTTTCCTTCACCGCCGAGCACGTGGTAAATCAGCATTTAAAATTGCAACTAACAATTTCATTGGTGCCGGCGGGGATCGAACCTGGGTTACTCGCGTTCTGTTATATTTACAGCGAGCGTTAACCATCAGAGCTACCAAGGCTCTTACATTTATTGTTTATGAAATAGTAAATAGTAAAATAGTAAAAGTTACGGCGTCGTCATACTGTTATAAAGAGGCCTCCTTTCATTTTCAGAAGAGTTATGGAGTGGATGAATTTCCTTTTCTTACGATGATTTCCTTCCTTTGTATATCAACTCTTAAAATTGAGAATAACAATTTTGCGATTGGTATAAACGGAAATCGAAATCGGATTGCTCGCGTACTATTGAAATTTAAGACGAGCCAGCCTATCAAAAGTTCATTGCTGAACATCGGTATTTCCTTCTAGATTATCTCATAGAATAGACATTTGCTATATCTAACACGCTTGGTAGACGGCTTGGCGACCGCAATTTTGTAATTATTCTTACGAGCTTAGGGTTCGTGACAATAAAAACTGCCGATAGAATTACCAATATTGACACTTTAATTACCGAATACAAATTAAAACTTAAAACACACTAATAATTAATCACACTTAACACTTTAGTTCACTTTATTTCGCTCCGAAGTCTTCGCTTGTGTCGCCAATTCAATACTGCTTCGTTCGCGACCCTTAACGGCTTTACATAGGTCTTTTCCACCGAAACGTCTAGAATGTTCCAGGAAATACCGGTCCCGATAGACTAGATGTAAAAAATTCGAGTGTGGAGTTATCTAGACAGCTTAGTTCTTCTATTCGATAATAGATGGCGCTGGTGCCATGTACCAGACATCAACTGCGCGCAACATTATTTTGAGCTGTTATCAGGAAGATGACCATCTCCTGCTTCTTGCAACACCCACAGGATGCCATGGGATAGTTAATTTTCTTACACCGCTTGTTACACGGCGCGGCCATTTTACAGCACAAAGCAAAAATGCAGAGCTAAAATTTAATCCTTGAATTTTATAGTGAAATCTATTCATAAATTAGTCACCTTGCTGTAGACTGCTAACCATGCTGATAAGTATGATTAGTAGTTTTACTTTGGGTTCATGTAAAAATAAATAAAATTCGTAAACAAATCCATTTTACTTTTAGGAATTTAAATCAAATTGGTTTGACCGAGCACTCGTGCTTGCAGAGCTGCGATTACTTAACCGCCATACTGCCCAATATGGAGGAGTGTACTATGGAAAGCCTTTGCGAATTATTCTCCGATGCATGTTGTGGTGATTATGTTTTTTAAATATATATTAATTTTAATATCTATGGGCCGGCCAACTTCTTTACAAACTATTATTAGTATCAATTTGTCGGCCTGAACGTAAACATGTAACTTTTCTTAAACAAAGCTTATGTACCTATATTCATGTTTCGGAAAACTGTTTAAGAGTTTACTTGCTAAAAAAATGCATTGTTCTCATTCACATTTAGCTTTCAGCTGTAACTTGTAATTTCAATTATTTGTAATAGTTTACACACATTTACGCTTTTATTCATATTTCAAATACATTATTACATTTCTCCTTAATTCATTCTTTACACACCACGTTCCAAATCGTTTTTGGGTATTTTTTAAATGTTTTAAACTCTGTGTTATTGTTATCTCCTATTTATGATCACCCTTTCATGAAATGAAAATTAAAACCATCATAGTTTCAACCATTTTGAGAAAATTAAATATTGTCGATGTTTGAGTAAACGTATAAATTTCCAAATCACAGTTCGGGAAAATGCGCATTTCGATTGGGAGGAGCCGGGAATTCTTCGATACCTAGTGTGTATGATGGCTTCAGGTGTGATCTTGTGGGTGCTGCTTTTGGCCATCGAGTACAAGATATTACAGAAGGTAAATAAATAAAAATTAATAATATAACCTCAGATAGGTAAAAAGTTAAGCTATATATTATCTACTGCTTATCGAAGGAAAATGCTACATTTAAGTGTACCTAAATATAATCTTTTCACGACCTGTCTACCGTAATAAGCTGATTATGACAAATAAGATAAAAATGATAAGAAATTTCGTTATTAGTAATAACTTAAATTAACAACTAAAAACATGTTTTTATTGCAAATTTCTGATACAATTCGAGCGGCCGCCATTGAGGACACTGAAAAAAGCTTCTGTTTATCATGATGCCATGCCACATGCCCCGCCGACCGCTCTACATTGAGACCTAACCCACAGAACAGCCCTAGGTATCCTCAGGCATTACAACACAAGCGGAATCATTATCCAACAATTTGTCATTGCACAAATATTGTCAATATTAGGTTCAAACTTGGAGCCGCGTCGTTAAGTCAAATGTTATGAACACAAAGGTACTTGGTAAACTCGACGCGAATTTATATGAATTTTATAACAGTAAAGTAAGTCAATATACGCCTCATAGCTGGCCACCGTTTTTCCCTGATAGGGTTATGGTGCATTTTGAGTTGATGTTTAACAATTTGGTTTTATTAATTTAACTACTTATAAAAGATAATACAAATTAAACTACCCATTATTAAGGGGAAATATAACCTCAAATGGCTTAGCAAGATCCTCCGTTATGTCGAAAATATTGCAGCATTAATTTTGAAATAAATATATGGTAAAGTTGAGGATTAATATTAAGGACTATGTTAGACGAAAACACGATTCCGTAAAATTTTCTCGATAGGAAAAAAAATCCAAAGTTATCTCAAAAATAAATAATAAACCGCTGTTATTCATAAAATGCTTTAAATAAGATTATGAAACTTTGCATACTAACTGAACTAACTATAAAGCAGTGCTTATGTTATTTACTTTTTTAAAATAACATTATTTTCACTGTAAAAAGAAATTACCTAAACTATAGGCATTTTGAAGCTTGATTTCTGCCGCCCGGCCAGTTTCGCTTCGGCCTTTGAAGGGGCGGGTTGTGTCGCTTACGATCAGAATACACATTACGCAACAGGACGACGTAAAATTAAAATGGAAAATAACCGTAATAAAAATAAGAAGCGACTGGGTTGGCGTTAAGAAACAGGCCTTTGTATTCTTTTGTTTAAGGATGCAATAAAGAATAAAATAAATAAATATCATAAACGTAATGAAATAAGTATCTAACGATCTATCTACTTACAGTATTAGTGATTACAAACATGTCGGTACATAGCATACGACGCGCGGGAAAGTGGGGGCGAAATTAGAATTTGAGCTGACTTACTATATCCTCTTAACGCCTTCTTTTAACATTTATATTTCATTTTTTTACGTTTAAAATTTTCTTCTTATTTTAAAGTTTACAGATTATAAATATTAGAAAACATTAAGGAAATATAAAATTAATATTTTAGTTTATCAACCGTGAAAAGAAGCCTCCAGTGGTGGATGAAAACACGTTAGATGATGATGTCGCTGATGAGGCGAGGCACGTGAACGCTGTCACTGGTTCAGCGATCGCACGGCACGGTCTCGTAGCGAAAAATCTATCCAAGTACTACGGAAAGCATTTAGCTGTCGACCAAGTATCTTTCAGTAAGTGTGTTGGATTATTTTCATTTATTTATTTGTGTTTTACTCACGCTACAGCCCCCAGTAATGCCATAAAACACGATCCTTTGTCAATTGCATCCATTAATTTACTACATGTCTTACAAAGTCGTCACTCCATTTAGGGAGGGGGATTCCCTTAGCTGGCACGCAAGCCTGCCACTCAAGAACCTTTCTTCTTCATCGGCGGTTAGTCGAGCTATTTGGTCAGCTCATTGCTATCTCAGCTTACTGATCCATTCGACTATTGCCCAAATACTTAAACGCTGATCAATTTTAATATGCCGTTAAAGCTCGTGCTGTCTCTATCACTTTAAGTCAAAGTGACTGTGACACCTTGAAACTTAACGACATCTTAAAATTGAGTAGCGTTTGAGTATTTAGCCATAAGTCGGTTACTCTCATTCTATTGTGGATATCATAGTTACGGATTCTGTAATGAGAGAAACTGAGTATAGCTGCTTTACATAACTCGCTGAGCGACATTCTTTCTCATAGAGGAGGACAACGTCTCTTCTCTTTACTGGCTACACGCGTTACGTTACCCACCCTCGTTTTTAATTTTAAGTAATACGTGACGAGAGGATGTGGCTCTGAGGAACACTGTCTAACCGAAATGGATTTATGGATAGACCTTTTGGTTGAAATTTGAATAACCTAGTCAAGACTAATTAAGCGACAGTAGCCTAATAGCAGGGCGCGGACCGCGAACTAAAAAAGGTCGTGGGTTCGAATCCACCATAAGAATATTGGCGTAAACCACTCGTAACACAATCAATTTAAGCTTACCACGAGTGGTTAAAGGGGAATATTAGTAATGCTTATAGCATTGTTAATATACTTTTTTTTTTAAAAAAAGACTAGTCTTGTCAACAACTTAGAGAGCGTAGTGCTTCCAAAAACAACAGACATGGGTTTGACATGGACGTTACACATAATCTTTTGCCGTGCCCATTTTCACCTTAAGACCTATCCGATGAGTGACGCTATTGAGGTCATTGAGTAAAGTACTGTGGCCCTCTAATGATTCTGCTGTAATGAATATATCGTCGGCAAATCAAAGGTGAGCGATATACAGCTCGAAAACATCTTCTAATGCAGCTGTAAAGAGTTTCACCGTCTTAAAATACACCTTGTCATCATCATATACAGCAATTTTATGTTCACGGTTGAGCATAAGACTTTTTTAGATCGTACCAGCAGATAAGCTCCCGCCTCTTTCTTCGGGAGAGGTACATAAAAAAAGTGCCATACTCTATCTAACATTTCTTATTAATATTATGTATAAAATATTATTAAATTATATTTAAATGAAAGTATAATAGTTGCGAACAGAAATAATTCATTGGTGTTCCTTAGGCGTAAGCGACGGTGAGTGTTTTGGGTTACTTGGTGTAAACGGCGCAGGCAAGACGACTACTTTTAAGATGCTGATGGGAGACGAGACAATTTCAAGTGGAGACGCTTTTGTCAGTGGTTATTCCGTGAAGAAAGATATTACCAAAGTGTACGAAAATATTGGTGAGTATTCTTTTTCATAAACAGGAAGTGACAAACCAATTCACATTCCACCTGATGGTAAATGGCTACTTCAGTCTATGGACACCTGCCAACTTCAAATGCCTCACAGCCTGTAATAGTTCTTATAACCATTTAGATGAGAATACAGCAGTTTAAGCACTGCTTACTCGGTCGGCGGCCGAATAGAAATACAATATTTCATTTTTTATTAGAGTTGGGACGATCAGCCGCCGACTAATCGGTGAAGCCGATTAATCGGCCTATTTGTAGTCACTGATTAGTCGGCGATTAATCGGCTAAAACGGCCGATTAATCGGCTTTCTATTTCATTAATTTCATTTTTCGTGATTTTCTGCGTGGTAACTGCGGCTACATTGATATTAGTAAAACTTTAAATTTAAGAAAAGAATAGTTCTCTCCCATGCGTAAGCTCACGTCAGATTTATATGTAGGTAAATCAAATAAAATATATAATAAGTAGGTTCATACATAACTTTTATTGAAAAAATCAGTCTCACATGTTTTAATGTTAATTAAGTATTCTGGACATAGGAACTTTGGTAAAAAAATAATCTGAGGTAGCTATTTAAAACTAAACAAAAACCTAAGTACTTACTATTTGAATTCTACTTTTTAACTTTTTCTAATCGTAATGCAGAGTAGTCACACGGCAAAATAAAAGATTTATAATATTATTCTTAATAAACTTCAAAAAAAAATTTTAAGTCTCTCACCTTGCAAAACAAAAAAAAAACTTAATTCTTGAATAAAGTTTGTTAAACTACACGCATATAGATTTTTAAAAGACAAATAGAACATACTTGTTCTGTACTTACAACTACATTGTTATTCTTTTTGTTCTAAAAATTAAATCATTTTGTTATTTTTCTGTACTTAAAATTACAATAAATTGTTATTTCCTACAATGTTATTACATAAAGAATCTAACATCATCTAATAAACTGTTAAAAAGAAATACTCAATTTGAAAAAGTATTGAAGGCTTTTTAGAAAATATTTAATTTATTTGTTATTTTTAACCAGTGGCTAATTGTGATGCAAAAAGGCCAAAATTTCAGCCTTTTCTGGTTGAAGTCGACTTCTTTTCCTTTCGTAGATACTAGATATTCCCTGTCTCAGAAAAAAGTCTCTCACTATAACCAGAGCTGGCGGGCAGCAAAGGAAAACTTTGGATAAACGGGACATTTCAGGATATGTGGAAGAATTTTTGTTCCACCATTTGAATTTATCATTGGGTAGGGATCGGCTGGGCCGATTAATCGGCCATTCCTTAATCGATTAATCGGCTAATCGGCCAATCGGCCGAAGTACTAATCGGCCCAACTCTATTTTTTATTCATACAGTATCGATTCTGTAAAATCAATAATGTTTATATCTGAAGTATATACGTTTCACAGCAGGGCACATTGGCTCTCTTTTCAGAGACGGTTATAGAGTAATTAAGTCCCCCGCGCTGCTACAGTACGTGTTAGCGGATTTAAAATTTTCGAAATATTTCTATTCTAGACATGCAGGTTACCTCACGATGTTTTACTTCATCGCCGAGTATGTTGTAAATCTATTAAATAATTTCATTTGATACTGGCGGAGCTCGTGCCTAGGTTGAGAGCAACCAATAATTCCTTTCCTTAATTATTTTTAAAATATGTATTGTGTAGGCAGTTTACATAGATAAATTTCACAAGAACATATGATTCAGAACACAAAAATATATTATTTTTATTCGAACCCGGGGCTATCTGCGCGGCAATTCATTGCTAAGCTACTGCGCCATTTAGCCGTTTAGCCCTCAGGCTAACACGGCTACTAAGAACTCACTTTTATGTATCACATAATTCCTTGTAATATTACTGAGTTGCTTTGGCATAAATTCAACACACATGTAAAAAGCATTCTAATAATTTTTTTAAAAAAGATGATTTAAAATATGAAAATGCTTGGACATAATAAGCTTTCTTGATTTGAGTATTTTTTAAGAATAAATTGTAAAGCTAGGAGAGTATAGAGCAGTGCACTTGTGAGTCTTAAATATAGGTGACCCAAAAATCGGTTATTATTAATCGGTTATTTCCAGTGCACATAAAAATTCAAAAAAAGTTTTTTGCTTGGTTATGTACCCACTAGATCAGCATAAAAATATTAAATAAATAAGTTACGAATCCGGGGAGGTACATTTATTTGAGTAGACACGAATCATCGAAGGGATAACATCAAAATAGAAAAGAACGAAATAAGAGTCATCAAGTATCTCTGTTTAAAAAGTATCCACCAAAGACATACGTAGCGACTTGGTGGAAACATTGGGGGACTCTGCTCCTCCATATTTCATACTTGCACGCTAGGCCAAGGAGTCTAAGCTGGGCAGAACATACATGGAAGATGAACATCGCGCAAGGACGCCAATATACATCCCTCACTGAGGATAACGTGTAAAAAATCGAAGATGTCGTATTAGCAGATCGAAGAGTGACTATCGGGCATATACGTAGGTCACTCAATAAGTTTTGAGATGCTCGAAATTTAAAAATGGAACGCACCCGTGTTATATGTTTTAAAAAGCAAATTTATTTCAAAATAGAACTCCATAAGCCAATTGTTCAATATTTAAAAAAAAAAAACAAAGTTCAATTAATTTTCCAGCAACGATTCTTGCGCTTTTCATTTAAAATGATGGATCTCAACTATGTTCTATTATGATTTTAAATTTGGTTTTTAGCATTTAGCATTAGGGGACTCAGCCCCGTTACGCGCAACAATTTTAGGTGATTTGCTGAATTCCAAAGGGGTAAAATTAAACTTAAAGATGACCAAACAACCGGGGCCCCGCAAACAGCAGTAACAGCAGAAAATGTATGGACTACTGAAATGTTGGTGCGAGAAGACCCACAAATCACATATACGGACATCGAAAAGATTGTAGGTTCAGGGAACATTCATACCATCCTACATCAACATCGTGAAGTGAGGAGGCTATGTTGTCGATGGATCCCTCGTTTGCTCTTCGAAAGCGTAATCAGACTCGCGTGGATTGGTGCCATGAACTGCGTCTACGTTTTGAAAACGCGGCATCTAGGCGTATTTCCGAAATTGTTACTGGTGAAGAGATATGGATCTATCAATATCATCCGGAAAATAAAAGGCAATCATCGGTATGGGTCTACTCAGAAGGACAGTTACCGACAAAACTGAAAAGACTTCGCAACGTCGGCAAAAAATGGTGGCTAGTTTTTTTTTCGCGGAGCGGACATTTGTCGACGTCAATGCTGGCAAATTGTAGGTAAGTCAACTCTAAATGGTGTACTACAGTTGCATTACCCAAAGCTTTTCAAGCTGTGCGGGAGAGAAGACCAAAGACCGGGCTTCGGGGAATTATGCTGCATCACGATAACACCTCTTTACATACCTCCCTTAGAACAAAAGCATTTATTGAGGAATCTGGTGTTGAAACTCTAAGTCACCCACCCTACAGCCCTGATTTAGCTTCTTGTGATTTCTTTTTGTTCCCAAGAGTCAAAGAAAAAATAAAAGGCAAGTTTTTTTCAAGCGCCGAAGAAGCCGTGGCCGCCTCCGAAAAAGCAATTTCCGACCGGTCAGATCAAGAGTGGCAAAAGTGCTTACAAAGTTGGTTTAGGCGAATGGCACTTCGTATAGAGGATGATGGAAAATATTTTGAAACGATGTAAAATAAAAATTAATAGTATCTAGAAAACTTTTTGTATATCTCAAAACTTATTGAGTGTCCTATGTAGCTAAGGTTACAGAGATTTCATATATCAATCGATATTCTTGAGAAAGAACCGCATATGAAAAAGGTCTCTGTGCGTTGGGTACCGAGAATGTTAACCGACAAGCAAAAGAAAAATCGAGTCGACATTTCGAGGGTGAATCTCGAAAGGTTCCAAGCAGATAAGGAAAAACGTTTGTCACGTTTCATGTACATGGACGAGACCTGGATCCACCATTTTGATCCTGAAACCTGAAATACCGACGCCGAAGAAATTCAGTGTCAAGTTCGGCGGGAAAGGTTATGGAGTCCGTTTCTTGGGATACTGAAGGAATAATTACAGTGGAATATTTGGAAAAGGGAGCCACTGTTTTAGGCTCTTACTACGCAGGCCAAATAAGAGGATTGCGGGAGGGTATTAAGGACGCGGAAAACTACGAGATGGAGTGCTGTTTCACTAAGACAATGCTCTAGTTCACAAGCCGCAGTTGCGATGGCTGTCATTTAAGAAACGGGATTTGAACTGCTTGAACACTCACGCCATTCGCCAGATCTAACTCCCAATGATTTCTTCTATTCAAGAAATACCTTCGAGGCAAGACATTTGCAGACAATAGCAAAGTGATCGACGCTATGGAGACTTTTTGGAGAGTCACGATAAAGAAATTTTTTCTAAAGGAATTCTGGGTTAAGAAAAAAGATGGACAAAATGCATTGACTTGATATGAGACTATGTAGAAAAATAAATTGTTTTTTTTTTTAAACTATAACTATAATATAAATTACCGTGTTTATTATTTATTATCATGGGCGCCGGCGGCAGGGTGCAAGAGGTTGCACTTGCCCCCGTCAGTATAGAAAATATATAAAAAACTTTTCACGTCGTCTTGACATGTAACGTGATAAATATACGTTCTACATGTTGTTGCTGGAACAGTTAAACCAATTTTGATTGCCTAACATATCGCTGGGTAAAACGGAGTGGTATGAGCAATTACATTTGCGTATTCAACAACAGATTCATTTAAAACCGCATTATTTTCTTTATTTGTCGACATCATCTAGTACCATGCGGTAGGCTCGCCAATGAAATCCTATAATTATTAGTATCCCATACTTTGATTCTAATATATATATATATATATATATATATATATATATATATAAATATATATATATATATAGCCACATTTTCAGATGGTTGATTTGATCAGTAAGTCTTTAGTAGTTTTGCCACTACACGACGACGCTTAAATTCAACAGTTTTTCGCAAATTTTCTGAGCTTACTCGAAAATTACCGCAAACTCATGATTTTTTTGATACTTTTGTGCTTTGCATTCCAACGCATCACAAAATTGAGCTGCATCTTACTCTCTCTTTAAAAAAAAATTGTTCTTTGTAGTCCCAGCAGAATTACTCACTTCGCTGACAGTATTTTATTATATATATATATATATATATATATATATATATATATATATATATATATATATATATATATATATATAAATTTAAATTAATGACCTAATGACAAGAATTAATACATGGCTTGCAAAGTGGAAAAATAGTGCTGTGGGATATTTATCATTAATTATTTTCTAAACACCATCCACTCGATAAACTTAAATCCTTGGCCAACAAGTTTATTTAAATCAAAATTACAATCTTGCAGGGAGCGAATAATAGTTTCCGAAATGGTTTTTGCGTTTCAGTTCTTGTACCTTTATATATCCGAGGAATTCTTAACAAAATAATTTGTTAAGAATTGCTCGGGTTTTTATCATTGTTATCATAACGTAGACAGCGAACACCAATAGATAATTGCTCTGTGCCACTAATATCAGCCAAAACCTAATCTATATTTTCTCATATAAGATAATTTTATATTTTACATTAGTTAATAGTAATGTGTAGATGCAGATTCACCTCCCTGAAAGTAATCCTGGCGGCGCCCATGTTCATTATTTTAAATTTCGGATCATCCCTCTTGTATAGGTATAATAAGAATAAAAATATGCTTGTGAGTTTCTTGCCGCATTTTCTAATAATGCTGGCTGGCATTGCTGAAGGGATGGCGAAGCTTTTTAGACTTTCAAAAAGTGCCTTGTAAAGGCCATTTTTGAACAAAAAAGAATATTATCAGTAATCACCCCAAGTAACACTTTTAGATCGCAGTTCACACACTTAACATTTGGCCACCGTATATTATAAGATATTTATTAAATATATAATTTTTCTCTTTTCTAGGTTACTGCCCTCAGTTCGATGCTGTATTTGGAGAGTTAACAGGACGAGAAACATTGCGTTTATTCTCCTTACTCCGTGGCCTGCCTACGGAAAATACAAACTTGAGGGCCGAAGCATTAGCGCAATCGCTTGGCTTCTTTAAGCATTTAGACAAAAGGGTAATTAAATCTTGTTTTTATTTTTTATCAATATAATACAACACATTTACAAATATACAAATATTACGATCTTTATAATATATACAATACTAGCTGGCCCGGCAGGCGATGTTCTGAATTTTCAGATAGGCGACGCAATGAGTTTCACTCCAAAGTTTTTAGTAAATAATAAATTCATTATTTATACGACCACAGCGACTGGGTCTAGCTTTTGTAACTTTCTTTTTTGGCGTTAAACCAACATATAACGCAAAACCCCCGGTTTTGGCCTATACCCGGTTGCCGGCCATTTGCTACTTTAGAATTCTATATATAAGGCATAGAAATTAGGCTTGCTTAATAGACTGTGGTAAAAACAATTTGTCTATCGTTCGTTCTGACAATTGGCAGATATAGTACCGTACACTTTGTTGTGAAGTAAAAAGTATCCCGCAATTTGTAAAGAAAAAAACATAAGTGATACTAAGTAAGTAATGGATAAATATATTAGATAGTGCCTATACTTTTATTTTTCAGTTTAGATTTGATTGAAGCCTACTAAATGAATGTCTAGGACCTTAGTTTTAAAGTTATTTCGGCAGTCATTGAGTTCTTAGTGCCGGAATAAGAGGTTGCTACAACTAGTACACTAATTTAGTACTTTGCTTGGGTTTTGGCCATATTTGTGGCTACAACTGACTCCAATAAGACATCAGGTTTTGGCCACTTTGTGGCCTTTTTGGTAAGCCGTCTAACAATCATAAACTGGTTTAGTTTTACAAATATTTATTTCTTTTGTACTTAGGTTGGTAAAATTGCAGCAACGAATAAAAAATATAAGCTGGGAATGTCGAAAGGAAGCTTTTTGCTCATTTGCCTTCGAAAGTTGCTTTGGCCTTAAAAGCTATACACGGTGCTATGAAAGTAGCTACTGCTAGCCGAACTTACCAAGTAACACGTTATACGTTGCGCCACAAAATTTTAGGACGTGCACCAGAAACATCAAGCCATGTTGGAACACTTGCAAATAATATTAAAATTCTTTGTTCATTTCCAAATGAAATGTCTCTCGATCTTCGGATCCATTTTGAGGAGAGGTACGGCGGGGACGGCGCCTCCTATATTCCGCCCTTCAGGGACCTTCTGCGGTTCTTGGAGGTGCAGTGCAGGCAGATTGAAAACGCAGCGGGCACCGTCGACGACCTACGGACTGCCAACCGAGCCATGCCCAGGGAGAGGCGGAATCCCCCGGGCAAGTCGTCGCCAACCCCCCTCAGACCGAGCGGAGCTCCTGCGGGAGGGCGCCGCCTCCTATCATCTTATAGCGGCCTAGCGGCCAGGGAGGCGCCCCCCTGCTTCTATTGTCGAGCACCCGATCACCGGGTGACGTTGTGCCCTAAGTTGCTGGGTAAGCCGGTCCCGGCGAGGCGAACCATAGCCAAGGAGCGCCGCTGGTGCTACTCGTGCTTGGAAAGGCATCTCCAACGAGACTGCCCGCACCAGCGGCCCTGTCCACACTGCCAGGGCAACCACCATACCGTTTTGTGCCTGGGTGCGAACGGCGCTTCCTCTCGGGGCTCTGCCGGGCCCTCAACCCGGCGCTCCCCTGCCGGCCACTGTGCCCCTGGTTTTGAAGGGGGTCCCTCCCCCGACCAGTCGGGAGGTCGTTGCCCCAGGGGCGGGGGGTTCGTCACCGCCCCCTCAGCGTGTTGAGAGGAACTTTACGGCCACTCAGCGGTCAGCTACTCCCTTCTCACCCCCGTTAGCTGAGCGGCCCGACTGGAGTACCACCCTCCCCTCTTTGGTCGGTACTGGTACTACGGGGTTCCTGCGACCTCGAATTTGTCCCGGGCCTCAAGGCCGAGGTTCCCTGAAGCTCCCCAGGTCGGCCCGTTCTGTGATTTCCAACCCCGGGTCATTGAGATGCCGCCGGAATGCCGCTTTTGGGACCCCCGGCTCGTGTGCCGGCCCGATGGAGGCAGCTCCAGCTAGGAAGCTGCCGCCCTAGCTCCCATCACGGCTGCCTTCACTGATACTTTGAGCCGTCCACAGTCCACTTGTCAAATTGTTCTATTGCCGACGGCCTCGATGAAGGTGTACAACCCGAGTGGCGACTGTTTAACGGTTCGCGCTCTATTGGATTCGGGTTCACAACGCTGTGTGGCCTCCACTTGGTTGGTGGGAAGTCTAGGGCTACCCTGGAGCTCTGAATCACGTCCAATGGTAGGTATCGGCGGTGCCGAGCCTTTGCTCCTAGGGGACAAGCGGAGTTGGTGTTTGGCCCTGCCAGCGAACACCTTCATATTCTAGTTAAGGTAACGGTCCACGATGATATTGTAGGTTTTCTCCCTAACGTCCGTATAAATGACAGCGCGGTTCGTTGTGCGTCGGGTTTGAGACCGGCAGACCCTCAATGGTCCCAACCTGGGCCTATAGATTTGTTGCTGGGGGCCGACGTGCTGGGGTTCATCCTGTTAGGCGAGATACGAGCCCTACAGCCCGATGGCTTGTCAGCCACGTCCACTGTATTTGGGCACAGTTTCTTTGGACCGGTTCTGTGGTCTCCACCTCCTCAGACGGCCGACCCGCTCTCTGTGGTGGGCGTGTCCCTTTCGGACGTCGTCCAGTGGTTCTGGGAAATTGAGGAGCCACCACACGCGTCTCGAGTCAACCTTCTGCACCGTGAGTGCGAGTTGTTCTACCAGAACAATACCGTCTGTCCGGCCTTCGTGTCGACGTTCGTTTTGTCACTCGCTTACCCTTTCTTGACTCACGGCCCCCTTTGGGCCAATCTCGTACCCTGGCCGAAAAGAGGTTGCTTTCCATGGAGCGCCGTGCGGCGCGACCCAGCCTTCGCGACAAATATGTCGAGTTCATGCGCGAGTATCAAGAGCTGGGTCACATCTCACCGTCTAACTTCGACTGGCGGTCACAGGAGCACTACTTCCTCCCTCACCATGCGGTCTTGAGGACCCCTGGGAGTAAGATTCGGCTCCGCCCCCTCGTCAAATGGTGTGTCCCTGAACTAGTGTCTCCAGTCTGGTCCTAATTTGATCAAGGACATATCCGACATTTTGACCCACTTCCGTCGGCACCAAGTGGTTTTTGTAGCCGACATTCGGATGATGTTTCGACAATCAGTGGTCCACCGTGATGACCGTCGATATCAGCTGATATTGTTGCGCGAGAAGCCCAGCGATCTGATACAGGTGTTTGAGTTGAACATCACCACCTATGGACTCCGGTCCAGCCCGTATATCGCCGTGCGAACCCTCCTCGAACTCGCTGAGAGAGAGCGTCTGAGATACGCTCGGGGGGCTTCTATTTTGGAGACTTCGGTCTACATGGACGACATTTGCACGGGTGCCTCCACCGTCGATAAGGCTCTTGTATTGCGAGACGAATTGATTGCCATCCTGAAGTTCGGAGGTTATGAGTTGCGCAAATGGTTGTCAAACTCCCATCATACTTTGAAGGACCTCCCAGGAGAGGATCAACAAGACCCTCATCTATTCGAGCATCCTGAAAATCCTAATTTGTTGACTGTGCTAGGCATTCAATATCAGCCAGTTCAGGATACTTTCACGTATCGAGTCAAACTCGATCCCCCTCCTAAATCATGGACCAAGCGCTCCGTGCAGTCGACTGTAGCCCGCACATTCGATCCTAATCGTGATCCATCCAGGATCACTCCGGTCATCTTTTTGGCTAAGTGCTTTCTTCAAAAGCTCTGGATATCCGGGTTGGGTTGGGACGACCCTATAAGCGGCGCTCTCTTGCGAGAGTGGCTCTCCATTGTGTTCTCCCTTCCGGACATCAACCGGGTCTCCATGCTAAGGTGCTTTCTCCCTCCAGGTAAATGCAGGGCTACCCTGCATGGATTTTGCGACGCCCCCTGAGAAAGGCTATGCTGCTGTCGTACATTTGCGGACTGTGAGCTCTTTTGGCCATACTTCCGTCCATCTCGTACTTGCTAAAAGCAAGGTTGCTCCCATTAGCTCCCGCTTAACTATCCCTAAATTGGAACCGTCCGGCGCCGCTCTTCTCACGCAACTCCTCAACCACGTTCACTCTTCCTTGAAGTCTGTAATCGACATTACGGACGTCTACGCTTGGTCGGACAGTGAGATAGTACTTTGTTGGCTCCGAGCTTCACCTCACAATCTTGAGGTCTTTGTGGCGAACCGCGTGTCTCAAATCCAGAATTCTGGCACGTCTCTAACCTGGAGACTTGTCAAAGGGGGAGTTGAATCCCGCAGACTGCGCTTCTCGCGGCTGTGAGTTGGTTGACTGAGTCTCAGTCGTTCTGGCCCCAGAATAAATACTCCGAACCGATTGAATTGCCTGGCCTACGAGCCCGAGTAGGAGTGGGCAAGGATAAGCCCACTCGGGATTTCTCCCTGCTAGAACGGTACAGCTCTCTCGATAAGCTCTTAGAAGTGACTGCTTGGTTGCGTCGATTTGTCCGCAATTCGAGAGACCCGTCCAACCGAATCTCTGATTCCGTTTTATCCCCTAGCGAGCGTCGTGAAGCCTTGATGCATTGGACCCGTATGGTCCAAGCGGAGCATTTTGAGCCCGTGATTGACACCTTAAAGTGGGGCTCCGTTGTCAAGGGCGCTCTGGCCCGCCTGAACCTCTTCCTGGACGACGGTGGGATGCTGCGCGTTGGCGGACGTTTGAAAAATTCTCGACTGCCGTACGGAGCTCGACACCCGTTACTGCTCCCTAAGAACGGAGCCTTTGTTCGGTTGCTGGTAACTCACCATCATGTTCAGAATGCCCACGCTAGGTGTAACGCTCTTTCGGCTATTTTGCAGCGGGAGTTTTGGATTTTGGCTGGCCGACGCACCATTCGGAGCGTCATTTTTAAGTGCATACCTTGTTATAAATTGAAGGCCACCATATCGCAGCCGATGATGGGTGACCTACCACCCGACCGCGTCAGGGCCTTCCGACCATTCGCTTGAGTCGGAACCGACTTTGCTGGCCCCTTCCTCGTCAAGTCCTCCAACCTTCGT